ATATATTGGCGGCTTTGTCGCCATAGTTGGTAGTATTGTAACACCCGTTAGAGCTCAACATAGAAGGTGTCTACGTATAAGCACGAGTCGTTCTAGAGTGACGGTTATGATTGTCTATACGAGCGAACGCATACACACGAACTGTCGCGCATGTTTGAATTAATGATGCGATTTGTTTCGTGAATGTATGAAGAATTAATGAGCATTGCATGAATGCCACCTTGTATTGAATTGTGTTGATTTTTTACCGTTCACATCGAAATGAGAGACAACGGTAATGATTGACTATGGTTGATAGTAATTATGTTGGTGATTATGCATGATGTAGATATGCGTAATATATGGCGTGTTTTATTCGTTCATTTCTATGTATGACGGATAGTATCGCATATTGATGCTCATGTGTTACCTGATTAACAGGGAATCTTAATGACCCAGGCAAAATATATGAATGGGCGCCAACATAGCGAAAAACAGAGTTTCTATACTTGAGAATGAAAAAGAGATAATATATACGTATTCGTGTGTATTGAAATTGATATACTAGCTTCAGCGATGGATCGGTCGATTCGCGTATAAATGAAAAACGCAGCTGGCTGTGTCGTTTTCTTGTTCAGCAATCGCGAGGTTTTTAAACAGCATACATTTACTTCCATAAAAACACAATACAATACAACGCTAGCTGACGTTTCGGCAGTATCGCCTTCTTCAGAGCCTGGAAGGGTATACTGATATACAATCTACTAGGCCAAACGCTTCAATAACACTTACACAAAGGCGAAAGACACTTTGGTAATTACACGGTCAACAACTTCTCGAAAATCCCACCGCTTTTTCGTGACTTCCAATGAGGAAGTTTAGAACAGCTGATTATAGTCGCATGTGGTTGACGACTGCACCATCCCACATCAACCCCACCGCAGCTGGCTGTGTTATTTACCGCGAATTGCAGACGCTAGAGTGGTGAAATTTTGAACGTATAGCGTCGTTGGCTTTTCCTTCGCCACATCTGGTTCAGAGTTGTTAAAAATTGAATCTATGGTCGCATATATGTGAATACGGCATGTGTTCGTTTACGTATGATAAAAGAATGCACATTGCTCGTCGAACGGCGTTCGACGGAATCCGTAGCGATAGTTGAAATACCACCGACTACTCTACGTCGTCAGTTAGTTCATAACCGCCTGTATGACCATCTATGTGAAACAACAAATTGCGTAATTTGCCCTTACGGCAGGGATGGTGATGGCATGAGTTCAAGTACGATATACCTGATCTCTTGTGATAACTGCGGAGATGAATATGTTGGCGAAACGAGCAGACCTTTGTGTATCCGTATAAAGGAACACCTAGATGGCAAACGAAAACTAAAACGAAGCACCCCACTAGGCACGCATAAGATACAAAAGCATAGCGAAGATGATTTTGAAGTAAAAGTCAATATCCTTGCACAGGAGTCTAAAACACCAGCACGAAAACTTCTCGAAGCTTTTTAGACAAATGCCAAAAACCCTATAACAAATAGCAGGGATGAATGCGCAGAGGTCATACGCGATGTGACCCCGTATGTTCGCATCAATTTCTGATGTGGGATGGCGCAGACATCAACCATATGCGACTAGAATCAGCTATTCTAAACTTCCTCATTGGAACTCACGTAAAAAGCGGTTTTTCGAGAAGCTGTTGATCATGTAATTACCATAGAGTTTTTCGTCGTTCTGTAAGTGTTATTGAAGCGTTTGGCCTAGTAGACTGTATATCAGTATACCCTTCGAGGTTCTGAAGAAGGCGATACTGCCGAATCGTCAACTAGTGCTGTATTGTATTGTGTTTCTCTATGGAAGTAAATGTATGCTGTTTAAAAAATTCGCGATTGCTGAACAAGAAAACGACGCATTCAGTTGATAAGGTTCACCATCAAGTGATATATTTGTTCAAGTTGAAAGAATGAATTGTTTACAACTGTGCACGCACTGCGATGAATACATATTTCCGCTTTCTATATGTGTTTGAAGAGGTACTCGCTAGGCTTTCCCTATGCAAGCACAATCTTTCTAATTTTTTCAGTTCTCATCAGGTTATTATTGTGAGTCGTGATTTTGCGTCTTAACGATATTTTGAGAAAATTCAATAACAGGATAAAGCCCTCAGCGTTGATTAATCCCTAAGGAACGCGCCCATGCATTCGACTTCATTAAGCATCGTTGGAGATGACTAAATGCATCTCTGGTCTTTACAGTGACTTGCGGTGGCCTACCGTTGTATCGAGTCAGCGCCCAGATAAGTTTGGTATCAGTTTGCGGACCCCTAACGGACGTAAGGCTTGGTGGACCAGGACGCGGGGGGCGATCCCATGTGTGTCGTAGGCCGCCTTCGATCACTGCGCCACACGCGCCCATTTTTAATATCTTACTGAATATTTTACACTGTCTTAATATAAAAATCTACCAGTAAAAACTTCTATAACCAGTGTTAATGGAATTCTCTAAACTATTACTCTGTTATGTTTCCATCAAATTTCTCAACATTTTAGTTCCATCGCTGCGTCCGGACAATGCTTATCGAAAGACAGTAACAACCGTCAAAAGAAACGGCTTCTCGGCACTTACGAAGGCCTTTGGAAAATAATGTTCTTTCTGTTTGTGTATTTGCATCGAAAGTGATGTGATATTTCCAGAACTTTATAGAATCGTATTGTTGAGATTAGTACAAACATAATCTTTTAACTAGTTTTACTTTTTTTGTGGAAGGAACGCATCAGTAATAATAATAATAATGTAAATTATAAACAGTAATGTAAAGTGTTAATAGTTAAGAGAACAGTGCGTTGTTAAACGTCGTAATTTGCTACTCATTATAGAGCTGCACTATGACAATGTGTGGCGGATTGGCAGTGCTCGAAACAGGGTGGTTCGAGACATTTACAAGCACTGGAAGCTAATTTGTACTTGTTTCTTTCTTATCATATTTATCTTGACTCTCTGTCTTCGTTCCAGTAATGACCCTACCTACTGTATATATTTGTTCCTGTGCCTTTTACTATGACCAGGTATATAAGTTTAGTTAAAGCAATCTGTCCATCAGACTTCTTTTTTGGGATAAAACTAGCTCTTCCGTCCATCTGGAGTGGACAAGTGACCTAATATACAATAAGTAACTGTCATCGTCAAGACTATCCTGGCATTAGGCTGGAATACAAGCACTTACGATTTATCTCCAGCATTCCTCACTTCCAAATTACCGTGCACACTAGTGGAACATGTTCTGTAACTTCCAATAGCAAAGGTACAAAGTCACAAAACTGACTATCGACAAGGCCGATTTGTCTTTTGAGATCCTTAAACGTAGTGTACAATGTTACGGATGCTGAACGCTCTGTGGAAATAAAATACGATCTGGTATCGCACCAGGTACGTTTCTATGCCACTGAGTACGCCTTTCGGCTCCATGTCGCAATGTTGACAGAGGTTGGGTTGTCCTCCCGTTTCCCTTCCAGAATGTGGCTCGGATATGACTCGCAGTAATCATTTCGTTCATGACGAGAGGGTGAAAACGGAAGCAACTATGTATTTTTTGAGTCGGAAATGTTGTCTCTGCGGAAGGAAAGGATTTAAGACCTGCCGATTAAGTAATGACAATGGTGAGGCTATCGTTGGAATGTTATATAATGTTGAATAATGTTCTGAACAGACAAAATATAGAAACTGAGATTAAGTTTGGCGAAGACTCATGTTTCTTCAACGTAATGGAAACTTAAATATGATGCACACAGATCTAAAGACCAATTGAGCAAAACTTTAATGAGAAATTTTAAAAGTAATACAACCAAACCGAACATAGGTACCGTGTAACCTATTCGTAGTGTTTCTAATATTTATGGATTGTTCCACGCTATATATATATGAAAAACTGCATATACAACACCAACTTCTGTACAATACACTAGGCGGCAAAAAATCAGATCATACTGGATGGTAGCAATAGATCAACATTCGTCTTGTATAATAGGGAACCGTCCTAGAAGGTTCCTCCTTGGAGTATTGGTCCACTTCATCGAATTTGACTCAATGTAAAAACGAACACGCGTGTCGCGAGGACGATCTGTGAACCATAGATTTGGAACAATCCGACTCTGAAGATGTCGAAGCGTTAGCCAAATAAGTCTATACCAATCTCGTTTTAGCCCAGTGATTCAAGGAAATATCTACGGATCGACTATTTCATATGAAAACGGAAACCAACTCGGAATTCTTTACCAAAAAGCCTGAAGGAAAAAAGCTCACGAAAACCAGAAGAATCTTCATTGCAAGTCGTAGGGAATTTCTCTTGAAATAACAGAGAGTGACCGGGCCAGTACACGTTTAGCACGCTCCACGTCTTTTCTTGAAGCTGGCGACATCTAGAAAAACGGATGATTTCTCGCACCGCAAATGGAAATATGTATACTCACCTGATGCACTGATGGACTCATTCGCCTATAAATTACTACCCACAGTGGGATATCATCGTCATTCACATCAAGCACTGGGCACCACCGCTGATGAGTTTTCACTGGATCAAAATCAGTATAGCTGAAATAGAATTGAGGCCATTAAACAGATATTACAAGAACATGTACTGGTTACAATTAAAAACAATGGAGGACTGAACTCACCCTAGTACGAAGCTTCTTGCACAATATTCGCATACAGCTACGAAATGTTTCCGACCGGCAATTTTTTCTGTTTCTATTAACCAACCTAATGAAGCTCCAACGACAGGATCTCCAGATGATAGTTTTGTTCCTTCGACAATCTTTGTAACGATTTCAGGGACGGTCTGAAAAATAGATACGCTCTAGCTTATCTCCTTTCAACAGTTTACGAAAGCATAGAAGTTAATACCGACAAAACTTTCAATACTAACATAACCACAGCACTGTAATATCGTAAATAGTTTTATAACCACAGTAAGTACTAACGGCAGAACTGAAGAATTTAGGTTAAAATCCTCTCTGTAGCTGTTAACCCGGAAGCTAGAGATTTCACCTTTAGGTGCGATGGTATTTTGATTATTCTGATACGTGTTCGTACAAAGAGAAATTCTCTACACGAACCTTTACGACTTCAAACCAACGGTTTACCGCCTCATCGTGGCTGGGAAATGTTCCTGGGTGTCGGACTGCGATGTATGGCAGGGAGATTCATCCCCCCGGCAGGATCTCTCAAGCTGAGAAGGAATCCGGCGTTTCAATCAGGAAGCCTAGCTAAGAGTAAACCAATACCAGGATCTGCTACTGTCCTGGTATCAAAGTCGCATGGTGGCAAATCTCCCTCTGATCAACAAGGGCTGCGACTGCCCGTGGTGGTGAGCTGGGGCAGACTTTGGCCAGGCTGACCTCGGGATTCCAGGGAACCACAATGGGTTAACCAGCAAATCTCCCATAAATGGTGATTATGCTGGGGCCCGCAGAACCTGGGAAGACGGTCCGTTCAAGTGTCAAGTGTCAAGCATACATACTAATGTCTAACTTTTTACTTACTCCCTATTATTTCTTCAAGGTAGAGTGTTATGTGAGGCACAATTACAATGATGCTAAGATATATTTTAAATATGTTTAAGCAACTATTAATTACTAGCAATTGAAAATCATTGTTTCAAATATTGTGATTTCGTCTATAGCTTCAAATTAACTGGGTTCAATGCCGACTTGTGCTCTCCAGATCATTTTCGTTGACGGGTGATTACTGATGGCACCGTTAGTGTAAAACTTCGCTAACAGAAACGCAAAGCAAGGGAATCTAGTAGTGCTGAGGGAAACACGTGAGCCTTGGTGAAGTGTAATCTCGGGTTTGAATCTGGCCCAGAGTCTACGTTTTGCAAATATCTCAGCATAATTGTGGTTGTATTATATACGTTCCCGACTAAAGCAGCTAACCTAAACGGAATTGTTCATAAACTTTTATGTTGCAAATATGCATGCTACAAACTGGGATTATACAGAAGCTGCCTTCTCTAAGACCTATATTATTCCGGAGCACTATTCGACGCTAGCTTTGACTATATTATCAATTTTATTTTGTTTCTCCATCAAATAACATTAGTCACGGATATATTTGTCATAATTATGAAAGACAGTACGTCACTGTTTAAGAAAAACCGTCGTGTAATGATAAAAGATATCCCGCTTCCTCAGTTGATTTCGTGTTCACAAGAGGAGCATGATGCAAATTGCTAAAAAAGAACATTTTAGAAAATTAGAGTTTCAATTTGGTAAAATAAAAATCAAAGCCTTGTTGATGCATAAGAATGACAACCGACGGACAAGAACCGTTAGTGATTGGATTCCTCGGGATGTCAAACGCACTGCACGAAGACCACCGACCCGATGGTCAGAGTTCTTCACGAAGAGCCTAGAAGAAAGATATGATGCTCGACGAGTCTCTAGAGAGAGCAGAACCCACTGGGCTACTCCTGCACGCGACAGGGAAAAATAGAAGATTTACTGGCGCATGCTCGAGTCAGTCGACGATCAGCGGTCTATCTACATCTACGATCCACAGGTGACAGGTACAGGTGACTGCAACGTCGCAGTAAACAGCCTTCGCAATATGAATCATACCACGCTTAATTCATATATGAAACTTAAGTTGTACCACGTAAATTCATAAGTTCTTTCAATCCGTAAAGATTTAAAAAGCAGAAAAACGCTCCAAAAAACAAGAAGTCCACTGTGACGCCAAAATGTGATAACAAACTTGTGTCAAACGAATAACATTCCAATAAAAAAAAAATTGATATCATTATGCGGTTTTTCGGCCTGAATTTGAGGACATTTTTAAAAAATTATACTTCACAACATTTTCCATGATTGCCGTGAAAGTCCTAACTGACTACTCAACAAGAAAATAAGGTTCGGCATACTCGTGAAGAAGCTAGTTTGTCGATAAAGAAATAAAAAAGGTTGAATTCTTAAAATTTCCAGTAGAAGCGACAGGCGGAAACATAAATGATATAGAGGAACACCATTTGTTCTGCTCAAAAAAAGAAAAAAATCCGCTTGCTCATTTACCTTCGTGTTCGAAATGTAAGACTCGAAGAAATATAAAGTGGAAAAAATTTCTGTCATGAGTTATTTCAAAACCTACTGGAAAATGAGGCGGAAAAAGAGCAAAAAACACATGAAATGTTGTCCCACCATTCTCAGTGCTAATCCTTCCACGTTATAAGTTGAGATTCTTGGCAATAGAACATCGTTGAAAAAATTGGCATCCACATCATGTTTGTACTCGAGAAGTTTCGATCTGTATACGCACGTGAGCAAGTGGGAACTAAGAATCCGCTCACGGACCCGTCTGAAAAGAAATAACCATATGTGTTAAAAGCTCAAATAACCACAAAAGTTCTCATACGGTTTGAAGATCTGCATTTACAAGAGATACGTAGCACTTAATCACACTGTCTCCATTCCCTTTTTTGTAGCATCATCTCGAATGCATAAGGTAGTTTATAATAATGTCCTCGAGGACGGCAAATTTCAGAGGAACTATCATTCTAGATTTTACCGAGGCTCTAATTCCACAAGTACAACAGCAAAGAATTTCTTGCTACTGTATTCAATTCTTATCAAATGATAGAACCTTTACTTCCCTTAATTATAAGTCCTTAATTTAAGTAACGTCAAATTCTGACTTGAAATATTGAGAAAACCTTTCTTCCATTGTATCATGGTGGTAAGATCATAACTACTGTTGACTACGAACAGTGCTGTACAGCGTCAAAACGAATACAACCGTGTCAGAGCTCGATGCCTAAACCCGTCCTTTAACTGACTACTATCGCAACTGCACGAAAATGATACATCTCCTCCATCTCCATCTTAACATTTCTATAAGAAAAGCAGAACATGAAGCCATACCACCTCGCCAAAGCGGTTTGCCGCCACAATGGAGTGGATAATTAAGTTGTTTTACTGGGATGAAAATGGCACACACATCGATAGGAAAACTCCTATCAAATCTTTGTCTGAGCTATCGTTACCATTTGAAAGACAGCGCTGAAGCATGAACAGTGCTTAAGAAATAGAAACATCTCAACGAATTATATGAAAAGGTAAGACTACGCACAAATCGGAAGAAAACTCGGTCCTAATAAAATCCTGATTTTGAGAACCTAAATGAATGAGAAAAAAATGTTCACGAGGAAAAGAATGGCAAGGACCGCATTCGGACGACTTTTAGATCCTTTCATATTACTAAATAACGGATTAAAAACTTCCCACTATTTGACGCTACACGACCCCGTTCTGTTTAGCAATCTACGGCAAGGGTTCTGCACACGATCCGTATAGAGAAATAACTATATTTTCTGGGACATGAACGCCACACATGACATATAGCCGGAGTTCGCAGTGCATATTTCCAAATGCACAAACTATTTGTATATAGGTCGAAAAGTCAATATCGCGATTAACTTTAAACGAGCTGAGCAAAAGCGAGCGCTTTGGATAGCTTACAAGAGCAATGGTGACGAAGCGAGAATGACAAAGCATACAGCAGGTAATAAGTGACAGGTAATTGCTGGTAATGTCATCCAATAAGTACAAGGCCCTGATCCAATCTAGATCAATCAGGTCCAATCTAATCACGTTCGAAAAATTGACTCTGGACTTGTCCGAGACTAGTTCGCTCCTTCCAGTCCACAAAAGGTGAAGAACGCCTGGATATCTTAAAAGACCTAACATCACTATCTTAGGATTCCAGAGCGAACAGACGACCAGTATTCATTAGACCGTTAGACATTAGATTCGTGAAGACCAAATCGTCATACATCACTCGAAACTGTAAGTAAATTCGAAGATCTTCGTAGATTACGGATGGGAAACAAGGAGCGGAAATAAAAGTTTTGTGACCAGTATGATAATTGTTGCTGGGTTATGTTAAATTAAAAAAAAAGAGTGCTTACCGGATACATCTATTGTACACCTCTATTTCCACGTCGGTAATTTTCGGTAGAGATGTGCACAAGAACTGTTTACATGCAATACACTGCACTTGATCCTGACCTTTACATTGCCAACCATGAACAGCTAACTCTCGAGGACTTATTTCGTTACCAGCCCATAATTCAAACTGGAAAAAACGGTACTATTGGAAGCATAATGGTCAGTGGCTACCAAAAGAAGTGTAAAGATAGTAATGATATTACTGGATATCAACAATGTGATACCCTAGCAACTACTAAACGTGTTTCTGCTTTAATATTTGAAAATACTAAATCCTGGTGAGCACCGTATTCATATATTAGGGCCAATGAAGCAAGAACAAGAAGCTATTACATATTTCTTATAAAAACCTGAGAACACTTTCAGAATAGCTATTCTGCGCTATCCTCCCAACGTTTCACCACCTTATCGGAGCGTTCCTGGGTGTCACGCTGCAATGTACAGTGACGGATCCATCACCTATCAGTGTCTCCCAAGACACAAACCTAAGTGTCTCAAGGCTGAGAAGAAGTCCGGCGTTTCCAACAGGAAGTCCAGCTAAGAGTAAACCAATACCAGGATCGTCCACCTTCTTGGGATTAAACTAATCGCATGGTGGCAAGTCTCCCTTCTCTCTGATCCAAAAGAGCGGCGACTGCTTATGGTGGTGACGACCTAGAGCAGACTTTAGCCAAGCTGTCATCGGGACTCCAGAAAATCACAATTGGGAAGCCCAGTTAAGAGTAAACCTATACCAGGATGGCTAAACCATTAAAACTCCGAAAAGTGGAAAATATGCTGTGGTCCACACAACCAGTGAAGGCGGGGCACCCAAGTATCCAAGTGTTACGTGTTATAAATTACAGAAAGCCATGAGTGTTGAAAAGCAAGTAAAGAACAATTTTCACAGCTTGTTAAGCACTTTATATTCTCCACTGTTAAAACACTAAAGGTATGTGTAGACCTAGGACTGAAGAATGAAACAGAAAACTCTGTCAAAAACAAAAGAAATTAGCAATGGACATGCCAGTCCAAAATAAACTTATAATACCCTCATGGCATTTGACAATGTCATTTCAGATAGCACATAATAAAGCTATCAACGTGGATAAAGACAGCGTTTCTGCTTTGTTCAAACTGCGAAAATATGAAGATGGAATAAGCGTTATTTTTCGAAAAAGCAAGAGTTCATCCCTACCCAAAGAACGTTGGGCATTTCATATAGAGGTGGCATTAATGCTTGCACACATCATCATAAATGACTCAGGTGTACTTTGCCAAAAATTTGTCTCTGTACTGAACAACCTGAACGACCAACAAGAGCGACAACCAAAAAGTCCTTGCTTGGACGAAGAACAGTGATACAATCTCGGCTTGATGTGATCACTGATACACTTGGCATTACGTAGCAAATCATTTCTAGGCGCTTACAGGTGTGTGGAGTAGGCGGCAAGGCCTGTGTATGGATGGTGCACAAACTGTCTGAAAACTTGATGAAGCGATACCAGCTATCAAGCGTATCAAGTCAGCGCTTTCCTCAGAATTTAATCAAGATCGCTGGAGAAGTAGATGGCGTGCAACAGCATAAACCGAAAGACCTTGTTGTCTAAAAGCGATGAGCTTTTTTTACCACAGCGAATGGCGGTTCACAGGTAACATCGTGCATCAGCTGAGGTTGAAATGTCTTTTACTGGTGAGCGATCAGAAAACCAAAATATTTATCTTCACGAAAAGAGACCACTACAGATTGAACTGCAGCGTGGAATCAACCATAAGTCTCCACGATGATCCAAAAGTAGGTGTGTTCAGTTTCGAAAACGTTGGACTACAAGGAATTTTGGTCATTAAGAAGAAGAAGCGGTGTCGGCAGATATGAACCAGTTGTTTCACTTATCAGTTGAACTATGCATCCTATGATTGTCGCACATTTAGCTCTAAAAACATTTCAGACAGTGTGAATCTCAATCACGTACAACCCCTCAGAAACCATCAAGACCAGTCCTTTGCATAGAAATCACGAAAATTCTATCCACAAAAGACCTTACATAAAACAATGCATATGTGAGTGGCCAATTATGCTCAGAAACAATGTGCTACGCGAATTTCAAATGAAAAACGAGATTAAGTTTTGAATAAGTCCAATATACTGCAACGGAAACTTAGGTAGAAAACAGGACCATTCTCTGATAAACAGAACAACACAGGTCTCGCAGAGCCCATAGTCGTTCAATTCAAAAACAAGACAGAAACAATGGGTACCTTGTACGACTTCACGATGGTTTTGTAAGTGGAAAAAGATTCCGAGCTCATCTTGCATCTGAAAGATTTAACGTAACATTAAGACATAAGCAACAGGAACTGAAGACATTTCTGCTACATCCATCTCTACAGGCATTCCTACGTTATGTTTAAGAATTTTAGAAACACAAGTTGTTATTATCTTTTCTTGTTATTCTTATTTCTTCTTTCTCTATCCTACTTATTTTTATGTGTCCCTTCCTACATGAAAAAACGACGTTGTGCACATCAATTTCAGAAATTTATGTGTTCAATAACTACAATTCTTCATCGTCTCATCGTGGCCGGAAAGTGTTCTTGGGTGTCGGACTGTGATGTACGCCGGTGGGATTCATTCCTCCAGCAGAGTCTCCCAAGCTGAGGAGTCCGGCGTTTTCATCAGGAAGTCCACCTTAGAGTAAACCAATACCAGGATCAACCACCGTCCTGGTATCGAACTAATCGCATGGTGGCAAATTTCTCTCTCTGATCCACAAGGGCGGCGACTGCCTGTGGTGGTGACGACCTGGGACAGACTTACCACAATGGCTAAACCAGCAGAACTCCAAAACAATGGGAATTATGCTGAGGCTACCACAACCAGTGAAGACGGGCTACCCAAGTACCCACTTAAATAACAGCTACAATGGAATTAAGCGTTCTTAAAACAACCTTCATTTCCATCTCCACATAAATTTTGTAGGACAGCCTTCACATTCACATTACAGCAGACTTCAGAAATAAAAGCTCAAATTTCAAAAACAGGTCCATAACGTCTTAGTGAATTCAGATGCAAAACCCAGCAGTTTGGAAGTGACTTCAATCTAAGCAAAACTAACCTCTTCGCAGCTGAAGGTGACCACACCGTTTGAGTTAATGACAACAACTTCTCACGCGCTTTCCTCTTCATCTCATGAAGTGCACCCATTGACACTTCGGAAGCGACACGGCCATCAGGCTCTTCTGTACTCATACGAACTCCGAATGAAGAGACAAATCTCTCCAACGAGTCTGAACTGGGAACCAACATGCAACTGTTTAACGATGCTAAAGGAACCGAATGAAAATTCAAACTCTTCGAGGACCCCAAAGCAGCAAGGCTGTTTTCGACTAGGTCCTTAGACGAGAACTTGCACTATGGTCGTATTCGCATTGCCCCGCCCGAAAACCAGTCAGTCGGTCGATAACGTCGATCGATAGCGTTAGTGTGGCATGGATTCGTCCGGTGGTGGGGTGATGGAGCGTGGCATGTGTTCGCTCGAGTTCCTGGCTTCGACTTTCGAAGTTCTGCAATCACCTGGATCATCGCCGTTCGTGTAAGGTACTACCCGTCGAGCCGGTGATTGCCAAGGAAGGGGCTGACCCACTAGTTGTGTCCATTGTTTGATTTGCAGTTCCAATTCTCAGTACTCGCTTCTACTGGCTTATTCACTTTTTATCGTTCTGTTCTGTATTGTGTTTTGCTCTGAGTGTTGTCGAAGTTGATATGAGAGCCACTGAAATCATTTGCTTCGTGTTTTTGAGTTCACTTGCAGTGTAGGGTTCAGTGTGAATCGGTAGATTCGTGCTGTTTTCAGCGTTATCAACTGTCTTGTTGATAGGACTTGCGTGCTGAAGATGTCATGTAGTAGTGGTGAGCAATCCGACAAAGAGGTAAATCCCTGCTTCACGGTACTTCTGGGCCAATGCTATACAGCCTTTATTTCCTAGATGTTCTATTTTAGTGTCCACTTTGTATGGAACAGCTCGAAATCGATGACCTAGATTTTTATCCATGTAAATGCGAGTATCAGGTTGGTTGTTTTCTTCGATGGACTGTGGTGAACGAATTATTTGAAAGCGAAGATGTGAATCATTGTCAGATTTAGGCGTTAAAAATTCCAGAAACTGCGTAATTCCAGTAAAAGGGAGTATATTGATCCCCTAAAGGGCTGGTGATGCAATGGTAGTGGTGCCGATTTTCACGAGCACAGTGTTGGTTCGACCCCATCCGTGCTCACCAAGTCCCTTATCACACCAGGGTGCGGAAGTTGGAACCAGATTTGTCTGGGACAAGCTCATTCTTTGCAATCCAATTGAGAATGTTGTAGCTCGGCTCTCTCAGAACAGAGAGAATCTATTCGATCAGCGTTTAATGACATTCATCCTCCCAGCAAGGAAAATCCCGCGGCAACAACCATACCCATACACAACAACGAATCGAATGCATAAAGTGCTGAGATCCGCACAGTAGATGTGAAAGATGAGTCGTGTAAAGTACATATAAAGCAAGTTTTGATGGCTTAGGTCAAGCTAAAATTAGCGGGTGTTATGGGTAGTGCATGAAATTCTGAAGTTGACAGCGGAGAAAAGAAGTTGCAGACCTTTAATATGATCGTTTCATGAATTCAACTCTATATATAATAAAAAAAAAAGATAGAGCTCTTGGCGTTGATCAATTTCTGAGGGTTGCGCCATGCATTCGATGTCATTAAGCATCGTTCGGACGTGACTGAATGCATGTCTACGCTTTAAAATGAGTCGCGGTGGTCTACCACTGTATCGAGCCAGAGCTGCTATCCTCCCAGACAAGTCTGGTACCAATTTGCCGACCCTGGAGAGCTGGAAGGTTTGGTGGGCTATGAGCGCGAGGATCGATTCCACGTGTATGCTGCAGAGCGCCTTCAATCACTGCGCAACACGCGCCCTTACTGTGTAATACCAGTTCTGAAAGCTATTATATTTCTTTTCTACTTGATTGATAGCTTTTCATATGTTACATAGTTGGTGGTTTGTTAATTGAAGTTTACAATGCGTCTCCTTGTCCAAGGTGTTAGGTTTTATTGTGACTATTTCTACATCCTTAGTAGTTAACTTAGTTGTCTCCGCCCGCAGGCGTCACACAATCTGGAACTTATGACGTATTGTTGAAGTTCAGTGGATAACTAAAGCCTAAACGCTTTTTGAACACTGTAATGTTTCGCTTTTCAGATTTGTAGGTTTTGCTGGCATCGTTTGCTTACGGACGAGAATGGCCTTTGTCCTGCATGTAGGCAACCGTATCCTGAAGATCCTGTTACGTTTAAGGTAGATTGTTTTCGACACTTGGGGAAAAGTTTTAGGAATACTTTATTTGTTTCGTGGTAATAGTGCATGGTGTGATAGTGGGAAATAAATTTTTGAAGTTCACCGATAGGATTTTCTAGGTTTGAGACGTGCTTAGAAGCGTTTATTTATTAGAGGGGACTAATTGCGTGCCACCATCGATCCAGCCGCATCAGCTTTTTTATGAACCAGATGGTTAAAAAAAACATTGTTTGTGTAATATGTTTCGAAAAAGCTATGAAAACGGCCTGATTATTCCACTTTGAGTGTTTGAGTCCGAGAGATATGACCGAAGTCGTTTTTTTTTATAGTTTCAAATGTTCTCTGCTAGGTCTAATCTGCGCTGTATTCCGCGTTAGACTCCGTGAAATTTTTCTTTGTGCGCTAAGTTAAGTTTATGTTTGGCATGTAAGACCAGTGTGCTTCTTCCTTTGGCAAATATAAGAATGAAAAAGGAAGCACATCCTCTTATCCTCTACACTCGCAATGGTATGTCTTTTTTTGGGTGTGGGGCATAAAACAGTAAATTGCCGCAGGAATCGTGTATTTATGAGGCGTAAGGAGTCCAACACCGCCACTATGTCTGTGGTTCTCTTATATGTAGAGAAGTCTTGTTACCTTCCCTACCAACAATAGTCGCTTTGCCATGATTAACAAACTTTTCGAGAGAAAGAACTTTATGGTATGAACGAAATAGTCTTTCTGGGACCTTTCCTGACATAACATTTGTGGTTGAGAAATTGCCCTTTAAACACAAAACATGGAAAAAAAGCCGGTGTGGCAATGAAACAAAAACGGAAACAGAACGCTGTAACAAACTGTGAGTTACATATCGTCCAGCCACTCTACTTCCATTTATTCGTTGAAAGCGGTACATATAATTGCGAATGCGAATGTGCAAAAAGGAAGAAGAAGAGGAAAATGTTTTTATTGTGACAGCTGAGAGACAGGCGAAACGAAAGACCCGCATGATGTGGTGGTGAACGCGTTACTCCCCGGAAAAGGTAATAGCGCGTTCGTTCCCCCCGCAGACACATAAGATCTGGAGTTTTGCAAGTATTTCTGCATCATTATTGTTGTTTTCATTGTCTTCTCACTAGAAGTGAATAATGAGTCGTTTCGTAAGGGTTTTGTGTGTTGTGGTTATTAGATGCGTCATATTCGAAGAGACTTATTGCGAAATCTTTTCTAAAATTTAATGATATTCCACCTCTAGTTAATCATTCGCTTAAGCAATGTTAGTAGATAAGAGAGAAATGGAATATACCAAGGTTCTAACCAAAAAAGAATGAAAGAATCGTATTCTATTGTTTTTAAAAATTTTCCTGTAATAACTGCAGGTGAAAACCTTACTGCTTGGGGCATACATTTACGCACACTGGTCGAATCTGTTTTGATGGAAGCCATCGTTAGTCATTGGGGGTAGCAACAGAATCAGTTTGAAAAGGAGAGTAGATGTGTTTTTTGCTAGAGTTAAATAATTCTATATATGTTTGCATTTTCTGGTCTAATTTATGATGTCGGTATAGCCCTTGTCTTGCGCGGACGTTCAACGGATCAAGGATGAGAAGCGGTTGAAACAACAGGCGGAAAGACTGCGTATTTCAGAGTCACGTAATCACCTCGCTAATTACAGAGTTTTACAGAAGGTGGTTTTAGTTCAAACTTATCTTTATTAGAGTATCTAGAGTACCTGTGACAGTCCTATTTTATGGCTTTTTCAGAATCTGGTGTATGTAGTGGGCCTGTCACCACGAGTGGCTGATCCAGATATATTGCGGAAACCTGAATATTTTGGCAGGTTTGGCAAAATACTGAAGGTGAGGATGGCAACAAACCGACTAGTGTTTTTATTTTTAGCTTTTGTTTTTTTTTTTTGAGCTTATTGGCATATCATTATGCAAAGGATGGTAGTGGGAGAGCTTGCAAGAAAATTTATGGTTATGAACTTTGATCTCCTTCATTCGTATTCATTTTGCATCTCATAGGTCGTGGTTGGGACGGCACCAACAGCTAATAACTTACATGCACAACCTAGTCATACTGCTTATGTGACGTATAGCAAGGTTGAAGAAGCTTTGAAAGCCATACAAGTACGTCCAATTTTTCTTTGTATTTATGTAATATTGGTGAGTAGTCAAGAATTTTTAAGGCTGTTTGTAATGCGCAATTGGATGGTCGAATTGTGAAGGCCTCGTTAGGTACCACAAAATATTGCTCTTCTTTCTTGCGGAGTCAAAAGTGTTTTAAGCCGGTAATGTGAACACTTTCATATGTTTCAAATAGGGTTAGACCACATATAATCATTCTCATTGGGCATTCGTGTCATAAACTTCACTACTTCATGTCTAACACATTTGCGACGGCGCTTAGTTTTTCGCTATGTTTATCGCGCACTAAAATCAATGGACACTGGCCAAGGCAACCTTTCAAGAAATTATCCAGCCTTTCTCATAGTTCTCACACTATAGTTGGTTCATTCCATGAGTGTCGTTATTAGATTCTATGCTTTTCATTTACTATGTTTTCTCCATGTCATCTCTACTCTTTTTCATGTTTTTGAACGTTTCCATTTCTTTTGTGTGATAAAGAAAGCGATTACCATCGGGCCACGGTACCTCTGCCTTTAGTATTCGGTTTTGCAGGAAATGTAAAGTATGTTCCGATATTTTTAAATATTTTTATATCCTACCATACCATACGGTGACGATAACTCGTCATGATAGGAAAGACCATCAATTATTGGTCAGAAATTCAGTTTTGTAGTCATGTTGACTACTCAGGTGAACTTGTGCTTTTCCCCGAAAATTATGGAGAAAGTGAATCGGTGAATGAACACGAGTTTTCCTTGTGAATAACTTTGGTGCACTCCCCTGTTATTCTCATTGTTAGCTCAGACATTTTCGATAAACGTATGAACGTTTCGGATACAAGTGTACTTGAGCAATCTCGAAATTGACCGTGTTTCTAAGTCGTCGTCTAATTAGTTCCTTAATGAGAACAGTCAATGACCAGGAAATAAAGACGCTGTGTTGGATTTCATAAGAACTGTCACGGATGTATGTATGATGCGGTACGTGACGAGAGTGGAAGCAGTAGGGGCATTCAATGTAGTCACTACTTCTTCATTGAGTGTTTTCAGTAATGGACACAAAAATGCGAAATGCATATGGATAATTTAGATGGTAGGGGCAGATAGCACGATGATAGTGATGCCGATGATCACGGGCATAGTGGTGGTCCAATCCCTCCCCAAGTCCCTCATTCCCCTGGGGTCGGGAAATGGGTACCGGACTTGTTCACGGAAAAAGTCGCTCTGCAATCTAATTGGGAACGCTCCGGTTTGGCTATCTCAGGGCTCTAGGGAGAATCAACTCGACCAGCATTCTACGACATTCGAGGTGCAATAAAAAATCCTCAAGCAGCAACCGAAGCCATACGTAAAAGTTGGAAGACCTTCGTGGATGGTGGATGCGAAGAAACGAATCGAATATGAGAAGTGTTGGGATCTGCACAGTAGACATGAAGACGAATAATGTGAAAATAAAATAAAAATAATAAGTAACATAGTGTGTAAAGAGGTGTATTAATGAAAATGTAGACTGTATATGAAGCATGTATGTTTTTTTCACCTTTAGTGTTTCCAAAGGCGCTACTAAACGCCGACAAAGCATTCTGCGTGCCCAGGTCTGAACATCGCATGCCTATGTCGGAACACCTGTGCAAATACAACATAGACTTGGTAGTGGCTCATTAGCAACGCTCGCTGTGATAGACCAACTATATAGGCGAGATGTACATTCAACATGGGCTGCAAACCACTCCCATGTGCTGAAAGAACATGGCTGTGTGATGAAGCAAGGTAACTAGTAAATATTTAGCATACATTCCGTTCATATCCGAAGAGCAGTAGACAAAAGTCTGTTCTATAGTTCTGCAATGTCCTAACTCTTCAAATCTTCTGGTTATGGGAGTCTCGTATCACCATGTTTTTGAAGAACCAGAACGAAATTAGGTGTCGTCGCGTATGTGTTGGAGGGCATGGAGTCTAGAGAATACATACGTGGAGATATTGTGAAGGCGAAACCTGCGTAGATGTGGCGATATGTTCATTTGGTTTCTAGTTGTCATGTTATTACTTTGTTCTTTTAGGAGTGTATGTACTTGCATGAAATAGCCGATAGTGATATCAGTTTTACGAAGGAAGATATGCACATGGGAAAACATGCCGAATATGAGCGGAAGTACGTTATTCGCTGTTTTTTCTCGAGTATTCGTACGTCAGTACGCAGTTTACCCAACATGGGAAAGGTGATTTCTGTTGAATACAAGTAAGCCTTGCATAGGTTGATCTTTAGTAACGATGCTTTCATAAGAAACTTATTCTAGTCACCCGTGCTGTTTTACCCTTATATGGGTAAAGGTTCTATTGTTATATTAAACGTAGAAATGTTAGACGTGGAAATTTCCATGCATGATCAATTTAATAGAAGTGGGATTATATTGCTACTCTGTGGTCCCTCTTTTTGTAAATGTTCGTTTGAATTCTAAAATCAGACTAGAGATAATTTAGTGTCTATTTATCCCGAATAAATGAAAATATTTTTCCTTTCTTAATGTGTTGTTTTAAGGTTGATAGATACAGTACTAAATAGGACTGTACCGCACTCACAGGAGAAACGAACCCAGTTAGTTTTATACACTTTTTTCTACGTAGTCGTACTGCATTATATTTTGTATATGTATTTTCAGAGTTTGGGCTAACAAGAATAATATCTGTTGGGATCATAATGGAAGCGAAACCAGTGAAGAAACAGATAGCACTAGAGACGGTGGGTACAATGGTGGTGACGAGGTGAGGAAACCAGTGAGCCATTTAATACTCGTGATTGACTTCTTTAAAATTTGGATGTGACCTCTTCAAATATAATGCGAATACCATCCATTCTTTCACTCGATTCATTGTTATGTATCCAAACGTTCGCATTCGCGTATGTGTTTGGCTGTAACTTTGTCTGCGTGAACGGCCTCAAATATTTGTTGAGCGTTGCTCTTCTTGGAATACTAGGATGGTTTTGCTAGTAGAGCACTCCTAGTTCTTCATTACAGGGAGTTTCCGGATTTGTGTGACCTTTCAGTATACAGGTAAACTGATAACTTGAAGACCCCAGATGAGTGGACGTTCTGTTTGGCCCCAGAACGAGGTCGAACATTCATTTTTCTCGCGTGCGGTGTAACCATTACACTGCACGCGCTTTAATTAGTAGTAACGTAGTATTTAAAAAAATCTGATTATTCTGTGTGGACGAAGATTCAGTTGCATTAGTTTAAATTCGCAAGCAGAATGAAGGCAACATACGGAAGAAAAACGTGTACAGATATATAGTGCTTTTTCTCAAGAACGTCTCACAATTCTGGTTTCTCCTTTATCATTACGTCATTAGGGGGTTGACGGTGCAGTGGTAGTGTTGTCGGTCATTACGAGCACGGTGCTATTTCGATTCCGCTGTGGGCCAAATAAACCTGTCATCCTTACGGGATGGAGAAATTGGTACCGGACTTATCCGGGAAAAAAATCACTCTACATTCCAATTGGAAACACTCCAGCTCGGCTATCTCAGGACTCCAGGGAGAATCGACTCGACGAGCATTCTATAATATTCAAGATGAAATGAAAATCCTCAAGCAGTAGTCGAAGCCATATTGTAAAAGTTGGAAAATCTTTGTGGATAATTGATGCGAGTAAACGGACCGATTGTGAGAAGTGCTGAGGTCCGCACAGTAGGCGTGAAGACGGGTCCTATAAAATAAAAAATAAAGAAGTTACGCCACTTGTTAGCTTACCGTAGCAATACTTGTTGTATGAAGTGTAGGGAGGCTGATAAATAGCTAGTGTTGAGGGAAAATGGAATTAACGGTAGACATTGGGATACATTTACGGAGTTTAAGCGAAAAGTAGTGGTAACGCAGTCGACGTCAATAATATTATTTTGCTCTCAGTTTAGCCACGGTTTCATGTAGGGTTATTTGAAATTATTCCTTGTTAAAAGGGGAGAAACGTGAAGAAATGCATAAAGAGAATATTATCATTTTCATGAACAGCAATAAATAATAGCAGCCTTTGTAATGGGGCTTTTTCCATGAGTTTTCCAAATTTGATGGTTATTGTTATCTGTAACTGCATATTCCAGTCACCATCTGGGGATCCGACTCCATCAGAAGCTTTCGCACCAAGAGATCGGCAGTCGTCTCCTCAGGATAAAGAGAACATTCCAAAACGTGGCAAAAGTAAACAGGCAACTACACAATTGCTTCCTCATACTACACTAATGAAAACTCCACCGGCATCACCCCCATCGCGGGAACCAACGTTATCCTCCATTGTAAGTTACTTGTGGAATATTATGTACAACTTTTTTCTCCAGAATGCTACCGAGATTTTGAGCTTGTGTTTGTATTTCCAAAGTGGTAACAAAATGAAGCGGTTAACATTTTTCTTCGGAATATCCATATAAACGTAAAAGCAACACCCATGTTTGTTCATGCTTTTATATACTCATATTTAGGATTTCAAGACTCCCGATTCTGAATCTGTTGCTAACACGAAATCCATTTCCTTAAAATCATCGGAGCATTCGAAGCCGTTTAACTCTATTTGTAATGAAGATACAGAATCAAAATTATTAAGGTGATACTTGTAGGACCTTCAACTATATTTTATTTCTTTGAATTTGAGACAAGTATGTATCTTACATTCATTTTTGATCGTAATATTTCCTTTCGGCCTTCTTTTCGGTGAGGTGAAGCCGTTGTCTTCATTTGCACTTTTGTAGGCTATTATGTGGAAATGAAGACAGCGGTGCGGGTATGATTCCGGCGCTTGCACCTGTAAGAGAGGCACCGGCTCCTCTAGTCAATTGGCAAACACTTTTGGGTCTTTCACCTCAAAATGCGACAAGTAACACAACATCATATGCACCATCCACGCTTCATTCGTCTACAGCTCCGCAAAAAACACTGATAGCAACACCACCGCCACCAGGTTCAACATTGTTTAAGTGTGGAAATATAATATCATTAATGAATGTAACGAACCTATACCAACGTTGTTGTAGGTATTGGAGGGTTCACTTCGGATGACGATCTTGGTTTCGATCCGTTCAATGAATCGTCGAAAGGTCTTGCAAGATTACTGGAGGAGGAGAAGACCAAACAGCCGTCGTTAGTTTCTGTATACTTTCTGGTCGAACATTATCTGTCAAGGGAGAAAGATATTGATATACGTCCTGTTTAAGTAAAGTAACAAGTGGAAGGATAGTGATAGCGGGATTTGGCTGTGATGGGTTAAAATCAGAAGTGATTGCCGTCTCAACAGTCTCGGCTTTTGTTTCTACTATTAAGTTTTGTTTAGAAACGAACTTGAAGACTTCGGAATATTTTATATGGAAAAAGATTTATAACATTTTTTTCAGTTGTTAATTTTTACATTTGCTTAAAAATCCTGTTAACATTTTATTTTTAGGGTCACATCTAATATGAATCATCATACAGCACAACAACAACTGCAGCAGCACCAAGAACAACATCAGCAAGAAAGCTTCGTTCTGGGGGATTTGTGGAGTCGACCTTCGTCATTGTTCGCTTCCGCGAACACAGTCCAGCCTCACTCATCGCATCTGGATATGTTTACTGGTTTGATGAGTGCGCAGCAATCGCAACAACACCAACAGCAGATTCAGCAGCAGTTGCATCATCAGCTGAATCACCACCACACACATCACCACCATCAAACGCACCACCAGCATCCACCACATCGACAGCAACAATATGATCCTTATTGTGCTCCTCCGCCCGGTCTCACACCTCCGCAGCGTTCTAATGTGTCTTCTCAATCTATTTCGGATTGGCAAGAAGGTCTAAAAGCGCTACTTCCGAACGTGAATGTGCGTTTCGTGAGCGATCTTGAAGGTGGTGGTCATAACGGCAGCAATTTACACCATTTGCATCAGCCACAGACAGCACAGCACTTGTCAGCTGGCACGAGATGGCTACCATCAGCCTTTGGACTCGATGCTAACGGACGCATTGCACCACATCACATGGTACAGCACACAGTACCGCCACCGCCCGGTTTTCCAGTGCCGAACCGATGAGAGATGATAAATATTCAGGAGTCTCAAATTCATCCAGTTTCGACCCCTTCAAACGTTTTCGGTGCTCTGTGGTTTAGGTCGTGTAGCGAACAGGCTGCATTGCCACCACGAAGTGTCGTTCCCCTCTATCCAAAGTTCATTTTCTTCACCTTCGCATATTCCCTTCACCCCACCTCCCCATTCCCCAGTTTCATTTACCCCAGTAATGTCACTATTTTGATGTTTCCCCAATATGTGCACAGGCTCGCTAGTCGAGAGTACGAGGTCGTGTGATGGCGTTCCACGTTAAGAGTTGCGCCACCAACTTCCTCGAAATATCTATTCGAATAAAATTTTGTGTTTCATGCGTATGTGTTGAGTGGGTAGTGTAAACATCTGATACCTAGGGTTGTCTGTTTGTATAGGGCACAGTACATGACGTAATAGAGTATTTTATTTACACGATGAAGTTGTGTTCATAAGCAAATTTCCAAATTTGTAAATTAGTTCCGAACTTTTATCTTCAGTAGACTAAAGAAGACTGCATGTTTGGCTATCTAGGTATCTATGTTGCGTTTGCTCTTACTATATGTGGTGTTGCCGATCCTACTTAGGGTCTACAATGCATCCGAAGGTCTTTACAAGGGGGATGGTAACTAGGACATAGAATCCGGTTTAAATTCGTTCGCAGTATTGAGGGGAGTTGACACCTGTTTTCTTTTCGACGGTTCATTTTCCCACTAAGGCTTTTTTGTGCCTTCTTTACCCTGTCGGTAGTTTGTTCAAAATGGAGCAGTGTGACACGTATTCAGCTAGGAAAGTTATTGTCTACATTTTGTGGTGCAAGACAAAAAAAACCTTTCGCGATGGGATTGCTGAACAAGCCACAAGTACCGGTACGGATGATGTGGGGATCTAAGTTGTGAAAGTACCACAAAGTGGTAGGACAGTGAAGTGATTCCATACGCTTCCCACTGCGATTAGTTGCTTTGTAAGTGCGGAGCAGAAGGCAATTGTTGCTAACGGGGTTAGTATGTATCACATGCATACGTTGAAGTTTGGTCAGTATTAGTCGATTTTAATCTACAGCATGTGCGACAGAAAGCCAACAGCTCCTTAGGGGCAGTGGTTCCTACTATGCTAAGTGTTAGGGTCTACGTGTTGACGTCTCCACATCTACGCTGCGGATCCAAGGACCCATATTCGATTCGCTTCATAGGGTTCATCATCCATCAATGTCTTCGAGCTTTTACATGTGGATTCGACTGCTGGTTGAAGATTTTCCTTTTGTCTTGAATGTCGTAGGGTGCTGGTTGAGTCGATTCTACCTGGAGGCCTGAGGTAGCCGTGCTACTGTGCCTCCATTTGGAATGCGGAGTTGGGATGAAAGGCTTGGTGAGTCCGGAATGATATCGAACGAGCACCGTGTTCGTGATGATCGGCATCACTACCACTTTGCTATCTGACTCATGTAGTAATTAGTAATGAGAAACAATTGTTGAGATACGTAGATTCTTTTGCTTTATCTGCAAGGTGATCTGAGGGAAAATCCCTTTGCAGGAGGCTACCGAAGTTACCATAAATGATGATATATTTGTTTTTCTATTGCAGTTGACGGGGGTGTCGTTACGCTGAAGTTTTCATATTCAACTAATGTGCGATCCTTTTTCTGCGGATTTCGACCCAGTGCTGGCATTACAATATTCACCAGACAGCGGTGGTGAGGTTTTTCACGGGAATTTGGACGACTTCGAGCGGGCATTTGTCGAAGAACAGTCAGTAGTCGCCAGGCTTATGTGTGAACTCGACGGATCATTGGGGCGAAAGAGCAAAAAGTAAATGTTGTGAACCATTAGTACAATTTTTTGTTTGCGATATTTAGTGACTTTCGCTTACAGACGAATGAAACGGGACCGTGTTGCTCGTTTGGAAGAGATGACAGTAAACGGTCGCAAATTGTTTGAAAGAAGCATAAAACCATCGAAGAGGTGAGACATGACGCATTGTTTTGATGCAGTGCACTTTTGTTTTTCTATCTATTTAAGAACAACCCATGTACGAGAAGCAAACGAACATTATCTAATTTCATCAAACACAGAGGCTGAAATGTCGTGGTTTGGATTCGGTTTTGCTTCCGATGGGTATCCATGGTATCCCATTTATGGGAGTGCCACTTACTAGTGGCTGTAGAAATTCTTACTGTGATTCTTCTTTACGCTTACGTACCCAGTAGACCAGGTACACCACCGTCCTGATATCAAACTAGTCGCATGGTGGCAAATCTCCCTTTGATCCACAAGGGCGGGTGTCTGTGGCGGTGACGACCTAGGGCAGACTTTGGCCTGACTGACCTCGGGACTCCAAGAAACCACAACGGCCAAACCTGCAAAACTCCGAGAACGTGGACGTTGTTCTGGGGCCCGCACAACCAGTGAGGACGAGCCAGTTTTCCATGTACCCAGTATTTTGGCAGTCTGCGCTATGTTAATTGTTGCACTTTTCTACAATTTCTAGATATAGCCGTTGTTTCATACTTTAAACATTTGCTCATTGCCTTGGAGTATGGAACAGCAACTGATTTCACTGTTGAGAAAGGTTCGCTACTTGTGATATTCTCTACGAAGTTATTGCTTTAAGGTTCAACAAGCCGAGCACAATACACAACCAGTCGTTTGCTGATCAAATGTCGTCGCCTTATCAGGCAAAAGATCGTCGGAGAGTGGAGGTTTGTGGAGGTCTACTTATAGGGTGGATGCTTCGGGATGCTTGCATTGCAAGGCCAGTGTAGGACAAATATTGTGTTTGCACTGAGTGTATCAATCACCCAATTTTTTGGTAATGTTGAATGTGCCGGCTTTTTTATTCTTCTAACAAGTATTGCGTAACGTTCCAGTTTTTGGACTTTGACTTTGATCAAAGGTTAGAATCTGATTTTATATCCAATTCCTCAAATCATCTGTTTGTGAACTGCTCCTGCGGTGGCATTGTGTGGAAAACAAGTCTCCATCAATGCTGTTTGCTTTAATTAGAACCTTAACCTACGACTAAGGTCTTTAGGAGTGGATAGGCTACTTTTCTGTTCAGTATTGGATATTCACAGGACGTTCAAAGTAACTACTTCGTATGGAGACTCAGACAGTGGAACATACACTTGGTCTTTTTCTCTATGTATTATCGGAGGATAGATTAGTTTGTTATTCAGTCTAGGCACTACCGGGTCATTCCCTCAACCGACTTTCTATTAACCTCGACGTTGATCAAATATTTTTTTATATTTATTTATGTGATCTTATAAACTGATATAAGATCACTTAAATAAATATATCAACTATCTATGCCGAGCTTTATAGAAAGTCGGTACTTCGAATTCTTTATATTCTTGTTGAGCAAACGCGAACAGTTATTTTATTCTGAATTCACTAACAAGCTGACATTTCGGCGGATTTCAGCTTCCTCAGAGCTTGGGAAGAACAGGTTAACTGCAGTCTACCGAGGAAAACATCTCCATAACAGGACAGAGAAAGTACTAAATCAAAATTTCAATCACATCGAAAACAATATAGCTTCTTCGCACACTCACAGCTTTCTACGAGTCCACTGAAGATTTCACGTGGAGACCAACCGCGCAGTGCTCACATGGAGGCATAGTATGCTTCTTACATTAGAATAGCGGTGTTAAATACTGTCCGAGATCACGCCTGATAATGAGGCATTCCTCACTCCCTATTTTTGGATTCTTGGAATGTATCCAGAATGCTTCGAGAGTTTTGCGCGCTGGTATTTCCGATTCCTATGCAAGGATGTTCACTTCTACTTCAAAATCTTCCGCGGTATATCTCTGCGTCCTGTGCGCGTCTAGTCGAGTATTTGGTTTAACTCACCTAACTACCGAGTAGGCTCATTTCATTCGTGCACGTTCCATTCCACTCGATTGGAGTCTATGTGCCTATCAATGCTTACTTATCGAAAAAGTGGCTTCTATGAGCTTTTGGCTAAATTTACTGTAGCTTTGAAAAAGATGTTAACGCCGAAACGTGTTAGCCGCTGTATGGTTTGAAATAACGCCATAGCTCAATAAACAAAGATGTAAACTCATATCGAGAGTAAATTAAACTTGGTTATTGGAATTATTCTCTAACTTTGTGCCAGCTTGTATAGTTCATGTAATTCCAACTGGTGCAGAATAGTTTGTTCTCACGAAAACAGTTGTCTTGAACAGATCCTGTATAAGATTGTACGCAGCTTGAAGACTCATAGTTAGCAAAGGTTTACTCCTGTGAGCGTTCTACCGTTGCGACTGTAAAGAAGGTGTTGGAACTGTACTTTTAGTAACATTAGTTATTATTAAGCTCAGTTAAGCTTTCCATCAAACAACATATTGATTTTTATGTCGAAATTAAGTTAAGTCGTTTATAAAGAAAGACCTTTACAATGTTAATGCTTTTATTTACTGCCTACTACAATTTTTCACGGGAGGATATTATGTGAAATGCAATCGCAATAATGTTGAGATATTTGCAGAACTCTAGACCGCAGGTGCCTGCGGTGGAAGATTGAACACGCCACTATCCTTTCCCGGGGCTAACGCGTTCACCACCACAGCATGCTGATCCTTTGTTTCACGTTTCTCTCAACTGGTTTTAGAAAGATTTTTGTTTGTGAATCCACTGAGACTGTTGCTGGTGATAGGGGCTAGCGACGGTTTCACAGATATATGCTAATACGTCTCTACGTCCAGCGACGGTTAATTGCCTTTTCTAGGAACAGAGTTTCACAAAGATTATTTCCAATGAAGAGTTTGTGTCTTTTTCTTACAAATATAGAATTGGGTGACGTGAGCCGATTTTAACTTACAGCACGTGCGGCAGGGAATTTGGCGCTGATTTAGTGTGACACCCACTCCAAATTGGCATCATACTCTACGAGTTTTATTTTTTACGGATGTGGCTGTGCTAACATACAGTTCATCTGTGCGATGTTTCTCTTGGCTATATATTCCGTCGGCTCATGAAGTTGGAATCTTTCTTACATAGCTGAGAATTGCGGAGCTAGGTGCAGTGTTTAGCACTCCTGTCAAATGTCGGAAGACAGAACTGTTCTTCGCCGTTCATGATGCCCTCTGGGACATCGTAAACTTCATCACAAAGGCAAAAGGTACAGATAACTATTGAGGCCGTTGGTAGTTTGCTTACATAGGATATACCTGCAAGCATTGAATAATCAAATCTTGCGATCTCTTTGATGTCATCGTGTGAAGGACTAAGCAAGGTTTGTTTGTGAAAATTTACGAGGGTTTTACATATCGAACGTGAAAATTGTTTCTGATTTAAGAGAGTTAGATTAAAATTTATCCTGTTGTTTCACTCGAGATCAAGTTGATCTAGTTCGAGGTATAATCCTGGTTCGAATAAATTTGAGAAAGTTCATACTTGAAGTGATTTGTAATAGGTGCTATTATAGATAATGTTTTACGACGCTAAATCCCTATCGGTGAGGAGGTTTGGGTATAAGAATAACTTTGCGAGGAAATGTGATCTCATATAATTCCGGCACCGTTCGTTGCTGGTAGATAGGTACGAAATCAGCCAGCGTATTCAGAATCTGATTTGGGACGTTCTTTGCGTCAGCAGTGAAGTTACCGTTGCAGTGTTGAATTTGCGAGTAGTGAAATTTTTAGCAAATCCAAACCATAACGAATGATTTCTAGTGTTCATAGCGTTATAAGCTGATGCTCGGTTCACTGGAAAGCCTTGCAGAGGCGGTGCTTTCGAAACATTGACTTGTTACGTTAAGAATCTCCACTAATCCCATTGAACCAAACAGTCACATTCAGTAGAGATCTTCACGTAGTATTTTCTTGAGGTAGAAGGATTCCAACGCAAAAACGAGATTTTAGATGAATGTTACGGAAACACGGGGCAGGTTTCACAATTTTAGTGACGTCGGTCACCACAAGCATGGTGCTAGTTAGATTCCGTTCCGGGCTCGCCACGCCTCTAAAATCCTTAAGAAAGGTTATACAAACATGAAAACATGAACTGGGTTCTCTTATTTGATTTGCTTTCGTTACCAAATTTTCCCAGTTTGTTAAAAAATATCATTAAATTTGAAATTTTAGCCACAGGTTCCTTTGAAAGGATTGTTGCATTTCTGTAATTTCTCTGCATTTTTACAAGCGTCGAGCAAACGCTTATACTAGCCAATCGTCGTTTAGGTGAACAATCGCTCATTAAATCGAGTGGATCACATTGACCCTGGAGAGGTACTAGTTCCCGATCGCCACATGAGTATTGTTCTTCGGGACGTAGATAATGCTGCTTTGCACGGACGGTTAGCGTTAATATGGTTTTCTGATAATTATAGAGAGCCTTTCTTTTACGTTTGAAAAGTTCGTGTACTTTTATGCTTTATTACCTGCTTTTTGGTTGAACATTGTGATATTATTTGACAGAAATTGGACTTATCTAGCATACTAGAAGTTAACTCGTTGAACAAATGCATAGTTGACACAGTTTCCTATTGTCTTTATTTTCAACACAGCGAATGGAACTATTCCTAAATACGTGGGGCGAAGAAAAAAATGGCGAACCATGTTGTTAGGTTGATCCAAAAATAGTAGCGGTTTTGAATGGGAAGTTTCAAACATTGTAACGCCATTGGAACTCATCTTCATAAGGAGCATTAAGATTTATGCGTTTTCGCCAGTAAGATATAAGGTAGATTATTCCATAGCATATAATTCTGGAGTTCTGCAAGTGACAATACTTTGATGACATTTTCCGCATTGACCTGCTTACTGAAGACTTTATGTGGAAATAGTTGTTTAGATGTTTAAAAAGGTGGTAGTTGGTTGACGACACGTATGATGAGTAACTGGATGAAGCAGTTTCCTAGCCCAATTGGCTTCAATTTTGTACCGTGTTGTTTAGTGTGTAGCCAGTTGTTGTGGGATAGGATTGGTCGTTTCTTTGACCATCCTTTGATATTATTCATGGAAAGCTTGGCAAGCATTTTTTTTTTGTAAATCACCAAAGAAACTAAAAACACAGCACTCAGTTCGTTCTAATTTCGAAAGGACTATCAATGCTACCACATTGGACTAAACGAGTACGCAGAAGACTAGAAGAGTCGGCAGCGTTGGTATCCTGGCCAACGTCAGCTGGGTCAGCAGCATCCGTCTTGTTGAGCAACTGACAACCCGAATCTGATGTTTACTAAAAGGTTTGAATTAACATTCGAAGAACCGTAACCCTTTAATACCGTACATTGTTAAACTCGAAGATCTACAGAATCTCCCACTACTTGTCAACACACTAGCGCTGCTTTTCACACTTGATCTGTAAAAAAGGGAAGTCAGAAAGAGGAGAAACATTTGAGCAACACTTGATTCCTCTGAAAAAGTAGCGACATTATCCGGACTTCTACACTTCAAAAAGCTGTCGACGAAGGCCGACTTTGGAAATCTCCTTTGTCATGAAGACGAGTTTCAGAACATTCTATATGAACTTTAAGAGTATCTTTAAGGGCTATCACACCTTATAAGGTCACCTTTGGCAAATTCAACGGTATGATTGGATCGAGGAGAAGGCGTTAAAAAGTTCTCATCGAAATCTACGAATCGTAAAGGAATGGATGTGATGAGCGACTGTCTGAGTTTGTATCTGATTTCCATGACCATCCATGGTAAGTTACAATTCCATAGGTTTTCAGCGCTGGAAGTGAAAGTCTAAAAATGGAGTATACCATAACGAGATAAGCTATGTAGTAAGGCGAATGTTTTACCGACGAAATCGACGGCCCACCTGTTGTCTCAAAATTCTGCACGGAATCAGACCATTGCCCTCCTTCAGACGAGATTCACTGTTCTTCAGAAGGTAGAGAAAGCCGCAAAATTCAAGAAATTAAGTCCTAACACCGTTGTAGATTGGAGTTTGTGCAAAATATTACTCGGCTTTTTGTGTAAATTGCGTCATCGACTAGGTCGTTAATGAATACAAGAATATGAAGAATATTGAGTTTCCTTTATGAGCAAACACGAGATTGTTATTACTTTTTAAAGTAAAAGACACTATCCTCGTACAGGAAACCGAAACATCGGCGCGTACAATCGTCGGGATAAATGAAGTTATTTGGCACACATTTATCGGTTTTTCTTGCTTTTCCAACGTCATTCAACTGAATTTTAGCTATTGAATTAGCTGCCGATTCTTTACTCCAACACTTGAGTAGTTTTCCTACAAATGGAGATCGTATGAAGCAGAACGAGACAAATTTTTTGCTTTGTTAACACCACATTAACCTGCAAAAATTTGTTGTAAATTAGTAGAAAAATTACTACATGACATATTATTAAGCAAGAAGCGAGCTAATGTACAGGAGTAGTGCGAGCAGGAAACATTTCTTGCAAAATTTTCTTTTCAAATCCCTCGTTATTTGAGAGCAAATATAGCAGAAAGTGGTCGATGGGTCTCAGTTAAGGAAATTCAGAGGAACCGTAGTAGGTAGTTTTGTCTGAGAGTCTGTGTTACTAATTCAAGTAGAAGATTTCATGGGAAGATTTTGTTTTAATATATGCTATTTTTAGCGGTTCCGAGCGCCTTCTCGATCGTCGAAAACCTGAACAAGATGATCTTCTTGTACGGTCACATTTGATCCTTTCTCGTCGTTCAGTAGTTGAGAGTCGCCTTCAATCAACTAGCACTCCAAGATAGTTGTAAAGAACTTGAAGACGCATAGGACAGTGCGACATGTTGCTGTCAAGCGAGCTGGTTAGCTTTTAAATCTTTGATTTCAGCACTTCTTGCGAATCCTTCTTTCCCATAGTTTACGTATGTAAGGTCTCCTAGTCACCTAATGTTTCCTAGGTGCATAAAGGATCTGTTACGACTATCTGCCTCTCATCTCGGTCTACGATTTCATGGCACATTATTATGAAGTTACTGTTTTTTCAGATTGTTCATTTTTGATTGCATATGAGAAGCGATATGTTTCTCTATTGTAGTTAATGAAATAAATGTTATTTTACTCATCTTTGTGTTAGAGTTTCATATATTCTTCTGTCATGTTCCATAGTATGTACTAACTGGCGCGTTAAATACCTCCAATGGTTTTCTGTAAGCGCCATCTAGTATCAGTATCTGTGATAATCACCGTGGAGCGCTGTGACCGCTATGTTACTTCGTGATTAGAGGGAAAAATACGTTCTGTAGGGAATCGTTTGAATATCTCAGTGAGGACATGACATTTCATCTGCTCAATATCAAAACTTCTTGCGTCAAATCTACTGCTTCTGTGATTGCGAGGTAATGAATTAATTGAACAAGGATCCTTAAGTCCTTCCGGGAAGGGCCGCCATAGCGATTTAGCGAAAGCCTCAGTACTACGTGTTCATTTGGCAGATGAAGTGGGCGAGTGAAACACATGGTGCTCATTTTTGCAAAAGCAATACCTGACTTTGATCGAAAAATAGGTTTCTTCCCATTCCAATGGCATGCTTCTTAATTTGATCACGGTCAGCCCAACCAAACCCCTTGATCCATGTGAAAGAGTAGCTTTATAAATTGTGAAGGTTTCAATGATAATATAAGTGAAAGCGCTATTTTCAAAAACATCACTGCAGAATATGTCAGCAAGGATTGTCAGTTGTTTCCAAACATGCAGCGCAACAAGTCATACCGGTGATGAATGGCTTTTTCTGTGATCAGCGCTTACTAAACACTATATGTAATATAGTAACCATTCCTTAAATAGTTCCTATTCTCTATAATATCACATGTTTCCTATACTATTTGCTTATAACTATCTTAAATCTATCCATTCATAATGTATAAGTCCTTAGACCGTTTCCACACGTACTTCCGGTAGAAGCCTTTGTACAAGCTATTTCATCCCTTTCACATGACCTTTTGATAAGACTTTGCGTTGTTTTTATATAACCTTTCTATACGAGCTATTCCCTCGCTATCTGATCAAGTTCTGTGTTTACCAAGCCCCTGGCACACCGTCTTATCTGATGTACTTCTCCGCATGTACCTTGCCATGGCTTGAATTAGCACTATCTCTGACTACCTCTGTAAACTCCACCCATTACAGACAAAATAGAAGGAGCTCCAGCAGTCTTGGAGACGACTGTCTGTCTTCCAAACTACCAGCGCTCCAACTCCAAGGGTCCGCCTAAGGATCTCTTCCTTCAAGTGTACTTGTTCCCATTTCAATCTAGCTCGTATTCACCAAGCTTACATATCGTCAAATATAGCACATTATTATTGTATCGTTATTGTTGCTATAAACTGTTATATCCAAACTCGAAGTTGTTCAAGACAGTTACGGAGAAAGGTCCCGCGTGGCGAATTCATACAAAGTCGAGCATTCCACGTACAGTTGGCGGACAAAAGACCAATTCGACCAACCCCCTAATCCACTGGCCAACTAACACATGTAATTTTTTTTGGCCTCAGCTATATATTCGTCCCTAAGCAACACTTATAGAGCGCTCTCGATAGTTTATTGCCCTATACATAGTGTGTTTTAAGAAGTGTCATACTTCAGCTTATGTCGCCGTCATACAACGTGTTTCTCGTAATTTACCAAGTGTTGTGCGTCTGTAACGCAGTGGTCGGAGGCGTACTGCAATACACGTCGCATCGATCCCAGCGCACAAGCTCGCCAAGCCTCCCATCGCTCCAAGATCGGGAAATTGATACTAGAGTTGTTTGAGAGAATGGCATCACTGGTTCGATACACCGCTAGCCGGCCGCGGATCACTGTAAAGGCAAGAAATGCATTCAATCACCTCTAACGATGCTTAATGAAGTCGATTACATGGCGCATCTTTCAAGGATTGACTAACACCGAGAGCTCTATCCTTCCATCCTTTTATCATGTGTGGGAAAACGGTTTTTTAATCTCAGCCCTATTATTTTGATCCGGTTTCCATTAGCTACCGAATAAGTATAATAGACATTATAGTGTCCATACGCTACCTTGGTCCAAGTCACTACGAACGCTATAGTGTGATACTATAGGGGCATTACAAGTTAAAGGCGATGTCGTAATAATAATATTACTGCTCTCTTAAAAACTTCAAGAATTTACTAGTTAGTTCCTTCTACATCTATATTTGGCTTTGTTGCAAAAGAAAAACCTTTCATGTTCATTTGATAAACTTTTTCTCTTTCTCTTGCTATGCTCCACCGGTTAGTAGAAACACTTCTGACCTTCTGCCGCTTTCTTGTCGGAAATAGCCGTATTGAAGAGAGACACTGTAAAGAAACATAAAAATATCAAGGCCGTCCGGTTTCCGGTGCACAACTGCTGCAGCTGCAAATGAGTTCATAGTTTCCTGGTTTAAGTTGCGAATATAATAGTTGACGGACGCCAGTGGAAAAGAATTGGAAGCCTTAACTGACAACACCATCCCTGCCGTATTAGACAGACTGGAGCCGCCTGCATGGAATCCCACAGTGTGAGCGGTTTCACAGTGACATTTTCTTCATGGCAACATTATTGGTTCGTATCTGTTAATGAGAAACAGCTGTCTGATATAGTGGGAACAATCTCGAGTAGGTGAAGATTTCCACGGGTAGGAGTTATTAATTTTCTTCACACGAAGCTAAAACAAGCGATACATCGACTTGAATATCTACATAAACCTCTCAAATTGCGGCGTTTATTTCGCTACAAGAATCTAAACAAAAACAACGGTATCATGTGCACCTCTAAGACTGCGGTGTGAAGAAAACGGTGTGGTTGTCTCAGGGCCTCATAAAAATTGCAAATGAAAAGAATTCTTAGTGTGAGGCACAGCAAAGCCAGCAACATTTAGCAATAAATATCTGGAATAAAGAGCGGGCTAAAGAATAAAGAAAATGGGGAAGTAATGAGAAACAATTTGACAACAGCTATACGGTACGCAAATCGCCTATGTGCTAAAACACACTGATAGAACACCAGCGATGATGAAGTTTCATAACAATTCCATGTAAGCTCAAGAGTATAACAGGTAAACTACGTAGTCACCAAGATTCTGCCCTATCACATAATGGAATGTTGAGCGATTACTAAATCAAACAATCGTATAACAGAATGAACACCAACCAATAGGAAAAATGAGTTGAAAAAAGGATATGCAAGGAAGAAGATGAAAACCATGAAAACCATGGAAATTCACTGCGTTTTTGTTCTTTTTTACATGGGGATGTATGCGACATTTTCGTAAGCTGTAGTCTCTGTATGTCTAACCCATTTGTGACCATATACAATTAATTCCGATCGCAGAAAATAATTCAAGATTCCAAAATAATACCAAAATATTTAACCTCAGACTGAACTATCCTTGCTAACAACGTGCTAGCTTATCCAATGCCACTAAAATCCTGACCAATGCTGCCTATGAACATCCTTTTTTTGTTTGCCGTCCCAAAGAGCTTTATTTCAAACAGCGAAGTGGCTGAACAAATGAGACTTTGTCTGAGAGAGACGGTGCTATTTACGAACGCATCACTGGTGTTTACAGGTAAGAAGCTTGCCTAGAAAGATTGAGAACTGTCTTTACTGCATTAGATTTATTTCTTAACCTCAAATCTTGAGAACTTAAGAATGGAAAGCCACCTAATTCTTACAGCGAAGTTGCTTCCATATAGTTTCGCTATTCTCAAACAGTATAGTTAAATGAAAAATTATGGCCAGTTCTCAAAAACGAATAGTCGCGAGTGTATTAATATAGAAATATGAGCGAACGTAACGGATGCTTAGTTAGTCATTCTTGGAATGGCAAAAAGCATATATAGTAGGAAATCCCACCGTGTCCCCTAGAAGTAGTCAACATTTCTAAATCTGGCACTTTTGGAAGAAATTTTGGTAGATTATAAAACACATTTGAGTAGATGCAATACAGTACCCTTTGTCAGGCGGTCAGCAGACCGGACGTTTACAACTTTTAACACTTGGAGATTTTCTCCGTTTAAAAAAGCTGTCAACTCTTTCAGTCATTCTTTTCAGAATAGGTGGTCTTAGTAAAGACTACTGCAACGATTTCCACTTCTCGACCCGTTAAATTCTCACCGCTAAGTTTTTCGGCATTTTAAATCAGCTGTTGTGCTTTTCGAATTTTCTCGTATATTATCAAAAGTTGCTCATCCAATGCACGAGACTTGAAATTCTCCAACGCAGACAACAGGTTCAGTCCTAATTCACCAGGCATCAAAGACTTCACAGCGACAGCAAACTCCTCAGGGTGTGCCTTCTGAAGTGTTAGCAGTGTTGATGCGACTTCGTGAACAACCTGTAAGTGACTAACTTTAAGCACTTGGAAATCAAAAGGAATAGGGAGAATATGTGACTTACACAAGGCGATATATGAACGGATTTTAAGCACAATGCCAAGTATTATTTTCGATTGTGATAATACATATTTCCCATTTGTACTCTTCTAGCTACCGCCAAACAGTTGGTAAGGGAATTTATGAATACAGTGTGCGACAAATGACTGTTTGTTTTTAAAATACGATTTTTGGCTCTTTAAGAAACAACAGAAAAAACAAGAACAAAAGCCGACCAAATTGATCCGAACAATAATGTTTTTTAATATATTTAACAATACAATATTTTTTTGGGAATGACTGGCATGGTGTAGTGGTGAGCGCGTTACTCCCCGGAAAGGACAATAGCGCGTTCGTTCCCCACCGCAGACACCTGCGGTCCGGAGTTTTGCAAATATCTCAGCATCATTGAAGTTATGTTTCTCAATATATAACCTACCATTAAAAAGAGTAGGCAGTAAATAATAAGTTGAAATAATATTCTTCTTTAAAAAAAACGAAATATTTGCACACGCAATGCTTCATGGAATTTATAGTGGGAATTGAGATGTTCAATGACGTCAACGCGTAATTTTGTGTAGTGGGCATATAGGATAAAGGATGAAGCGTTCTCTGTTGGTCAATACATGATGGATGCGCCATTCACCAATGCTACAGGTTACTGAATCCATATGTGGCCGATACAATAACCTTTCATCACCTACCAGTGTATCGAATTACTGCGCTACACACCCTACTGAACACATGGGACGACACCTAATTTTTGGCAGCACATGTTATGTGTCATATGTGGGTCATGACAGCTAAATGACCCCCCCCCCCATGAAATGACCCTGCCCTTTATAATGTGCTTTTCGCTCAATAACTTCGCTTTTCTGAGTTCCATTTTGGAAATCTCCATCTTCCTCTTCCTTATCTTACACATCCATGAAAATCTTCTGCCCACTGCACTACATTTCTTTTTCTAACTTTTTTGCAATGAAAAAAACAACCCTCGCCCACCCTGCACTCACGTTGCTGTCATCTGATGGTAGTCCATTTTGCAACGGATTCATTTCTTTCCATTCCTTATTATAACTAAACTCATCATAGCAACTGCAAAGTTGGAGAGTTAAGCCAAGAGACGGATTTGAAAACCCGTTAAGTCACCTGCTATTTGTCTAATAATAATAATAACAAAGTAAGAAGTGGTGAAAAAGACATCTCACATAAGATAAACCCACTGGTTAATCCTGCATGAGAAATTATCGGTCTTTACCAATCTTCAGCATCTTCGTGTTGGCTTAATAATCCAAAAAGGTATTAATTAACGACGAAGTTAAATGACGGTCGGTTTGAAAAATAATGATTTGCTATTCACTATGCTAGCTAACGTAATACCGAATGCTGCAGGATGGATGGTCTGCTGAAAACCAAACAGAGTGCCTCATACGAGCGGTGCACAACTGAAAAAGATTCCACTCGATACGAAGACAGACGTCATATCGTGAAGGCGAACTAAGGGCCATCGACTCTGAGGAAGACGAAGACGTCAAAAACTTAGCCCAATTAACATCACTATCAATCTCGTTTTATCTTAATAACCCAAGAATGTACCTGCATGAGAGTTTACAGGGCTGGAAGAAACATCTGTATGGAAAAATGACTAGCGCGTTTTACCCGCAGAGTCATAGCGCCAATACATTCTATATTCGAGAAACAAATACGACATTGTGGATCTACCATAACAGCGTAGAGTTAAAGGAGCCGGATTATTTGAACTTGATTAAATGGACAAAATGCAAGTATCTACACTCACACCTCGAACGTCTCCGATGGCTGTGAATATTACAAGAAATTAATAAGACGTTATGATTCAAGTAATATAGAAATCGAGCAAATGAGAACCGGACGCAGCCAATGCAATTGTAGACTGCAAAGATACAACCGTAAAAGTTGCAAAAAGCAGGTATGGTACAGTGATAAAGATGCCGTTCAATATGCGCAAGAGCACGGTTCCACTATGGACTTGAGGAATTGATTCAACCATCACTGGACGGCATTCATAAGGAGCAAAAATCTTTAAGCAGTAGCCAAGTTCACACAGAAAATTTGGAAAACTTTGTGGGCGACTGACACGCGGGTCGGAGGCAAGTTCTGGAATGACACAATTTGTGATGTCGCACCATATAGGAAAAAAAGTTGCAGAATTGTGATGGCTGCTACTGTACGTAAACTGGGTGAGAGATGCACACTGAAGACTTTGCGGGCCTTGAAGTATAGTATCCAAAAAGCGTTAATTGTAAAAACTGGAAATTATGGGTGACGGTGTGTTAGTGTGCTATCTATAGCAGAGCACCGAGCAACCGATATCAGCTCTGCATGGGTCGTTCTATTTCCTAAGGTCTATTTAGGCGCACAGAACCACTCTTCCATAGTTTTTGCAAACGATCGATATCTCCGACATAGACATAGTGGCCGATGTTGGTTGGGAAAAGTTCTGACCTGGACTTAGAAATATACAAAAATTTTATCGGACAGGTTGATGGTAGGATGGTTTTGCAGGCAAATGACTTTTCTTATTTCAATTCTGATCACTATGGATCATAGTTCTCGGATGGAATGTGTGAGCATAAAAATCACTGAAATAGAGACAGCACAAGCTGCAAAACACTACCGAGTGCTGACAGCAATAAGTTTGTACTATGGACCACAGTAACATACATTAAATAGTATCATATATACCATTCAATTCATTAACCCTTAAAGTCTTCTGGTCAACGAAAAATCATTGTTTATTGTCAAAAAAATAAGCCCGTAAATATCAAAGAATACATGCCGTCTGAATCTATAGGGACGCGAAAAACCGAGCGAGCGTTATGTGTTAGGGTTCAAGATCGCAACGGTAAAAAAAAGTGAAATCGCTACTCACCACTATGCTCCCAGCATCTGAAGCACTGATGTGTGACAGCGAAGGCACTTCAAGGGCAGTACGCAGTGTTCTTTGCCACCACTGAGTATTTCCAACGGAAGTTCGACTGAGAGTAGCAAGCGCGAGTTTTTGACATGGCTGATCACTGCTCAGAGCAAACCGTGTGGCAGCTTCTTGAAGACTGTCAAAGAAATCTCCTGACAAGATGTCATCGATTATATAAAGAATCCTCTAAAATTCTAGAAATTCTGAAATGAAACCAGCGTAAAAAAGTCCTTTTACACGTATTGATTTTCGTGCACATTAACGAGAATACTGTCGATTCCTATCATAGGCGACACCGAAGGGTAACACGGAATACGTACCTGATGCAATTTCTGGAAGCATGTCCGATACTGTTGAAGTATAGAACAGCTGCAAAAACGCACGTCGAACATATATCAAGTTACGATAAACGGCCTCGTCTGAAATAACCAAACGATGGCTCAGAAAACCTAATTAGGTGGATTTTTAATAGACCTTGGGATTCGGTTTCTACATCGTCCTTGAGCGGTCGGTTACTTTTACATTCCTACTTTTGTTTCTGATTTCGGTTTGAACACCTCTCCGAATCAACCAGTAGGAAGACTTAGCGAAGGATTCGTCGCCGAAAACACACCTCCCTCTTATCTACCTGATCTACATTGCGGTGAAGATCTGGATACGCTCTTGCAAGGTTACGTCAGGACTCCAGGGGGGACCAAATTGCACGACAGCAATAGGCCAGCCTCAATACCCCGTCTACGACGTCAAGCGGTGAGACGACCGGTGAGAGGCAAGAAAATCTCGGCTTACGCAGGACGTCATTGGAACGGGATCTAACGAACACACGCACGACCGCCATGGAGATTGTTTCTTACTATGCACGTATAATGCCAGAACATTCCACAGACGCCGATCTTCACGCCCTTCTTGTAGCCGCAGATCGCATTAAATTTTATGTGATCGCATTACAAGAAACAAAAATCAAGAAGACCTACATACGCCAGCCAAACAACGGGACCCTTGTGATCCGTGGAGAACAGGTTCCGTCACGAAATGTCGGTGGCGTAGGCTTTGTCGTCTACCCGTCCATTGTCCGTCTCATCAACTCATACATGATCCTTTACCCTCGCATAGCCGTCCTCCGCCTTCAACTGTCGTATCATAAGAAGATCACTATCATCAACTGCTACTCACCGACCGGCGCAACTGATGAATATGAATTAAATGCGTTCCACTATCAGTTGGGGGAAGTCATCCGCAATGATAAAGCATATCATAAATTTGTTGTTGGAGATTTCAACGCCAGAATAGGAAAGGTCAACGAGAGCGAATACAGAATCGGAAATTTTGGATTAGGAAAAAGAAATAGAATGGGAACCGTACCGCAAGATTCCTGTCAGCGGCACGTCTCTTCCATGGAAACTAATTTTTCCAGAAGAAAGAAAGCCCGCGCTGGACATGGGAGTCTCCCAACGGCATAACTCATGCGGAGATCGACCATATTCTGACAAATAGAAGATGGTGCCTACTTGACACATCGGTAGTTCCGTCATTCTGTACTGGTTCCGATCATCGCAGTCTTCGCGCGAAGATTCGATTCAGCCGCAAGCTGGAAAACAACTCTCTTCATCAACCACGAGGAAAAAGTCTACCAGCATACGACGAGAACATTCTCAACGAAGTCCTATCCAAACGTGACTGGCAGATTGAAGAAGACCCGACCGAGGACTACGAGTTGTTTGTCGAAGGACCGAAAAGCTGTGACGAATTCGCCTCAGTTCCTAAAGCAAGAAGATCGGATCGCATCTTCATCACTACTAAGGAGTTGCTCGAAAGGAGAAGGAAACTGAAGATTGAACCTACTGCAACAGTTTAACATGGCTAGTAATAAATGCCAGCTGCCAAAGAGCTTTCTAGGAAGATCTACAACGCTACAAGGAGAAGAAAATACTGGAAGCAACAGAGAAAAGAAGCAGTCTGAAAAAATGCCGTCAGGACTTGTGTGATTATAATGTTCCGCTGTCAGCCCTGATGAACGAAGATGGGATCGTAAGAACTTCCCGCCATGATATGGAATTAATAGCAGTAACGTTCTACACCAACCTTTTCTGTTCCATAATCCCCGTACCGGACCATAACATCCCCACTGGAGAAAAGCCACCTGGAATATTTGTCGGAGGTTCGAGTTGCGATAGAAAGCATGAAAACAGGCACAGCTCCAAAACCCGATAACATTACCGCCGACTTCCTTAGAGCCGGAAGCCACAATTTACATGCACTTCTCGCAAATCATATGACAGCCTACCTTCAAAAGGAAAAATCCCGAACCAGTGGAGGATATCGCGCACGGTTATCCTACCCAAGAAAGGAGATCGGAGGAATCTTCGTAACTATCGTCCCGTATGCTTGTTGAGTGTACCCTACAAGCTTTTCACGAAGACTATTCTCTCGTGCATATCAAGGAGATTTGATGAGGCGCAACCAGTCGAGCAAGCAGGATTTCGAAAAGGATTTTGCTGCATGGACCGCATCCAAACCGTGTCCAGAGACATCGAAGTTTGTGGGAAATATTACTTGCCTCTAGTCCTAACCTTCGTCGACTATGAGAAAGCGTTTGACAGTGTCGAAGCGAGTGCAATACTATCAGCGCTTGTCGACCAGGGAGTGAACCCGTCCTACATAAGAGCTCTGTTCCACTGTTATCGGAACCGCACTACGAAAATACAGCTTTTCCACCGACCTTTTAAAATACGCATAGGAAAAGGGGTTCAACAGAGCGACACTATATCGCAAAAGCTATTCAGTGCCGCACTGCAGTGGATAATGAAGTCACTCGATTGGGATGAGAAAGGCATACATATTAATGGAAAAGTCCTATCAAACCTAGTTAAGCTGAGGTTGAAGTCGAAATCACAATCTTAACCTTTTCATTTACTGCCTACTATAATTTTTAACGGCAGGATATCATGTCAAATGCAACTAAGATGATGCTAAGATATTTCCAAAACTCTGGACCGCAGTGTCTGCGGTGAGGAACCAACGAACTATTGTCCTTTCCGGGGTCTAACATGTTCACTACCACACGATGCGCGCCCTTTGTTTCGCCTTTCTCTCAGCTAGTTCTATTGATCGGCGCCATTAGCAATCACCCGTCAACGAAACTGATCTAGGGAACCCAAATTGGCAACGAACCTAGTTAAGCTGAGGCTGAAGTCGAAATCAGAATCTTAACCTGTTTATTTACTGCCTACTATAATTTTTAACGGCAGAGTATCATGTGAAATACAACTAAGATGATGTTGAGATATTTGCAAAATTCCGGACCGCAGGCATCTGCGGTGGGGAACGAACGCGATATTGTCCTTATCGGGGAGTAAGGCGCTCACCATTTCTACCAAACCTTCGTCTTGTTGACGACATTGTCATCTTCTCGAAAAGTACTGCGAAGCAGAGATGATGATCAAAGAGTTCAACGAAGCGGGGAAAAGATCGAACTTCGCATAAATCGAAAGAAGATCCAGTTCATGAAAAACCGCTGGTGCGAAGGCGAAAAAATTGAATTGGATGGCTCTCTCACTGCAGAGGCCACCTCGTACGTATACCTTGCGCGATCAGTGACCATGGAAACTAACGTGAAGGAGGAACTAGATAGAAGAACGAGAGCAGCTTAGGCAGCATTCGGGCCACTCAAAGAAGCCATCGAGCAACTGAAGGACCCGAAAATCCGCGCTCATCTTTTCGATTCCACGGTCCTCCCAGCGCTCTGTTATGCTGCAGAGACGTGGGTTGATACTTCAGCCACGTCAAGAATGCTTCGAAATACTCACAGAGCGCTTGAGCGATGTCTTCTGAAATATAACCGGCACTCTCAATATGTAGCCGGAATGCGAAGCTCTGACCTTCGAAATCTGTCACATCTTCGAGATCCAGGAGAATATGCATCGACAGCGAAACATAGATGGGCCGGTCACATAATGAGAAGAACCGACGACAGGTGGACGAAAAGAACAGTAGAATGGACTCCAAGAGAACACAAACATCCACTCGGACGACCTACATGTTGGGCGGACGTGTTCGTAAACAAAGTTAATCAACTGTACCCGCAGCTGCAGTAGTTTTACAGATCATGGTATGAGACTCGCAAGCGCAGCCATGCTCGAACATGACCACCACGATGGATTACTATTGCGAAAGGAACGAATGACATATGTGCTGGAGTCCGCACAGCTCGTGAAGACGGACCGTTTAAGTATCCAAGTAAGTAAGTAAATCTAATAGACCTTGGGCTCTCAATGATGGTGTCGGTTCGGACTCCATCGAAAGACGAGCCGCTGATGCGAGAATCGCTCCAAAATCGACACCCGATCGCAGGCATTCTTTCTGTAAGAGTAAGAAAATTAAACTCAAACCAGAAAAGTTATCACTATCGCTACAAGGCCATCTATCGAAAGCACGGAAACACTTTTTAAAAAAACCATATAGGACACAAAATCATCTCCTTCTTTAATACTAATAGTAGCGCGACTAACTGGCAAATGTTTGAGTTCGCTACTGAAAACTAACCTTAAACTTGGCGACTATCTGATGACTGAGAATAAGGAGATGATTCATGCTATCTAGATCAATTGAAACCTAAACGAAAATGGAACCTTTAAGACCACTGAAGGCAATAATGGGTGGTACAATTGTAAATCTTTTACCGCAGCCAATGCGGACAATAGAGCAGGAAGAACAGGAAGCAGCTCCGAGTCAAGACATACAACCAGTCGATGCGCAAGCTGTCGAACCGACTCCAGAAGGAACGCGTTCTCAGGTGTTAGATGCCCCAAAAACAGCTGTAAAAATTACTCATAGCGCTTTAACCAGACATCTCATAGCCTTTTAAGAAAAAAAAAATAGCATTTTGCAGGACGAATGTGCAGCAAGCGTTAACGTTAAATTAAGTGTTCCCTATTTAAGTCAAACTGGCAACAAATTAAAAAACTTTATACGCCATGCAACGAAAAGTGATAGAAATACGACTCAAGTTTTACACAAAGGATAAAAAAGAATGAAGCTCTCGGCGTTGATCTATCCTCGAGCGACGCGCTACGCATTCCATTTCATTTAGCGTCATTCATTGCAGGCGATAGAATGCATATTAAGCTATTAAAACGACACGCGGTGGCATACCGATCATCGAACCAATGCTACTATCCTCCCAGACAAGTCCGGTACCAATTTACCGACCCCGCAGGGATGGAAGGCTTGGTGAGCCACGGTCGCCGGGATCTACACTATTTGTGTGCCGCAGGACGCCTCCGACCACTGCACCGCACGCGCCCAAGTTTTACACATGTCGAATGAGTATGACAAGTTGTTTTCTATATATTATAACCTTTTTGTCATGATCGTAAGCAAAATTCGATACCTGGTTCGAAATATTCTAAAACAATAGCCAGACACGATATAAAATCGCAGGGAACTCACATTAAGTAATTTCATGTACATGTCTACACATCTGCATGATTGCATCGAATATGAATTGTTGAATGCTTTTGACAAACGGCTATAATGGAGCAATTCAAAACCGATTGATTGTAGAATACATGTTAGCCAGATTACTCACCTACAGTATCCCACAGTATTGGCCATGAACTGCTGAACCATTTGTATCTTGGTTGCATCTTCAGATACTCGAACCATTTGCAATTCTCTAGTAGCAGCAAGGAAACGCTCAGCAAGCTTATTTGCTAGTTCTCCAATGTAAGTCGACTAAAGGCATCATTTTTTGTTGAAGGCAAATTCGAGTAAGTGCATTTCCGACCTTCTGCTCCACTCCAAGTTCACCAAAGACGATAAGTGTACCCGTCGCTTCGAATATGAACGCTTGGTCGTCTGCAGTGAGCAACTGGTCAGAACGCGATGACATGACCAACAATGGTGCCAGGCGAGCAATAACCTTGAGTATAACACGACGGATTCCATTCCAGAATAAATAAATTGCAGTTCTATGATACATAAATAAATAAAGCCCGGATATACGACTGTTAATGCAACACATCCTTAACCACCGTTAATTTCATGGCAACTGCAAAAAAGCAAATTCGTTCGTGGTTTAAACACAGCAATAATGGTTTCTCGGCAATACAAAGTTTAAGATAACTGGAGGATCCTCAATGTTGCGAACATCACATAGTTATAGAATAGGCTTCTTCGTTTTACGATTTTGAAGCATAATCTCGCAACTAAATGCTACGTTTTGCCATAGTTCGCTATTAAACACATTTTCGGTAACTAGAGCATTTATGAAGTCGATAACTTGATAGAATTGTAAAAAAATCGTCATCTATTTCTCTAAACGGAAGTTGCAACTTTACTAAAGTGTATTTTAAGTTTGTTTAAAATCCAAAGTTGAGAAGTAAAACTTTCAGTGTTATAAATAATAAAACTTGAATCTTGTTGAGGAATAGCTTTTTGTTGAGGAACAATCAAAGTAATAATACAGGTTAAGATTGTGATTTCGATTTCAGCCTCAACTTAACTAGGTTCTCTCTTTGATGACCTTTACACGAGGTTGATAATGATATTTATTTTCGGCTAACGTTTCGACGTCTTCGTCTTCATCAGAACCGGTGATCCGAGTCGATGGTCCACACTTATTCGTCTCGACGTGGCAGCTTGTCGAGTCAGGTCTTCCTCAGTGAGCCATTTCCTCGAATGAGGCATCTTCACTCAATGATGCCTTTTTATGCAGGTTGCTGATGGTGGATAGCTGTGATTGTCCGGTGATAGTGTGATAATAACTTGTTTCTCTCGGACAATCAAACCTGCAGAAGTCGGTGTTATTATCAGCTAGCACAAATCGTAGTGATTTTTCGAAACCGACTTTCCTAGAACCTCGGTATCACTAATCGATATAGCGTGGACCATCGACTCGGATCATCGGCTCTGAGGAAGACAAAGACGTCGAAACATTAGCCGAAAATAAATATCGTTATCAACCTCGTGTAAACTCATCAAAGAAAGAATACATATTAATTAGTGATATCGAGGTTCAAGGAAAGTCGGTTTCGAAATATTAACTAGGTTCTCTCTAACTTCTGTCCAGACATGAGGTACTACTTTATTTCTTTATTTACGTACGAGCTGACGTTTCGGCGGATTTCGCCTTCCTCAGGGTCTGGAAAGATCAGGTTGACTACAATCACACGGCCAAACACCTCCATAACCAACAGAGAAAGTGCTGAACGAAAATTTCAATCACATGAACACAGAGTCTTTGTACACTCACCGCTTTCTATTAGTCTTCCACTAAACGTGTCACGTGGAGACCAACCGCACAGAGTTCACAGGGAATTGTATTGTGCCCATTTCATATTAACTAGGTTCGTTGCCGATTTGGGCTCCCCAGATCAGTCCCGCTGATGGGTGATTGCTGATGGCACCGATCGATAGAACTAGCTGAGAGACAGGCGAAACGAAGGACCCACATGGTGTGGAGGCGAACGCGTTACTCCCCGAAAAGGACAATAGCGTGTTCGTTCCCCACCGCATACACCTGCGGTTCGGAGTTTTGCAAATATCTCAGCAACATCTTAGTTGTATTTCACATGATACCCTGCCGTTAAAAATTATAGCAGGCAGTAAAGAAAAGGTTAAGATTGTTCTTATAGATGTCACACAATTTGTCCACCACCGGTACAAAATTCCGTGAGAAGATCATTTACTGCAAGCATCAATTGCAAGTTTTGTGTGAAAACTATTGATTGTAGGTAAGCATCAAGTGCTATATACGAAATTCGTAACTGTATTCGGTTAATTATGAACAATCTCCGAATAGTCTTTGTTGATCTTGAGTTAAAAGGAGAATCAGAAGTTGCTATCGTTATTCTTTTATTCCTACTATTCCTCCCAACGATTTACCGTCTCATTGTGGCTGGGAAGTGTTCCTGGGTGTCGAACTGCAATGTACGGCGGGGGGTCCCTCCCCTCGCAGGGTCCCCGAGCTGAGTCCGGAGTTTCCATCAGGGAGCCTAGCTAAAGGTAAACCAATGCTAGAATCCAGCACCGCCCTTTTATCAAAGTCACATAGTGGCAAATCTCCCTCTGAGAGGGTTGCGACTGCCCGTAGTGGTGAAGACCTGGGGTAGACTTTGGCCAGGCTGACATCGGGATTCAAGGGAACGACAATGGCTTAACCAGCAAAGCTCGGATAAATGGTAATTATACTGGGACCCGCACAACCAGTGAGGACGGGCCGTTCAAGTGTCAAGTGTCAAGTTAATCCTATTATTTATTGCTGTTAGTTTTACGGTCATGTAGGATATATGTGTTCACGCATTGTGTGTACAAATTGTATACTGTAGACTGTAAGACAAATATAAAACGAAAAGAGTAGTCTTGATAACTGTTCCTAAATAAGAACGGTTTCCAAACCCACTGAAAAACGTGTAGTTCCCAGGATGGACTTTCTATTAACCATGGCATTGAAATATGAATGCGTCGTTTTCTTGTTCAGCAATCGACAGACATACACAGAAAAACGTATACTTTGTGAACACTGAGTCACTTCGAAGAAGTCTCCCAATGATTTACCATCTTATCACAGTAAAAAGTTCTTCCTACATGTGGAAGTTCAGTTTTCAAGTATTTCTGCAGTGCATACTCTCTTAAGCACGAACAGTCTCTTGCCGAGAATTTAACTCGTCCAAATTGGTCTTTTTTTTTGCAAATTACGAAGTGAAAAGAACAGCTTGCCATAGGCCACAACATAACATGTATCTTGAAGAAGATATTGAACAAATATAAAAAGTGTAATAGTAAAAAGTGTAGATGAGCTTTCCGTTTCAAAATAAACCGCTGAAGGGGATCTTCATAGGACACAAAGGAGTGGGTCCCGAATGTGTTAAAAACATGATAAAAAGGATTGATGGAATTGTGATGAACTCTTATGTGAGAAATGTACATATACATACCTCAGAGACTAAAGGACTGAGTGCAGTTTTATGCGCTTTAACAAAGCGACAAAAGAGGTACACGATACGAGTACGGACACGAGCAACTGGGAACGTTATTCCTCTGTAAAATTACGGAATTGAAAGCAAGAGCTCAATGATAAATTCAAAAAAATCCTGCCTTGATAAGCCAATGAGAGGTTGAAAAACGTTAACATACAAACGAAAGCTAACAGAAAACCAACCCTGAGAAGTTCTTTACGCATCAATAAAACGCTCCCAACGTTTTACCGCCTCATCGTAGCTGGGAGGTATTTCTGGGTGTTGGACTGCGATGTACGGCGGAGGGATTCATCAGCTGAGCAGAGTTTCCTAAGCTGAGAAGAAGTTCGGCGTTCCCATCAGGAAGCACCGCTAAGAATAAACTAGTACAAGGATCCATCATCGTACTGGTATCAAACTAGTCGACGGTGGCAAATCTTCCTCTGAATCACAAGAGCGGCGTCTACCTGTGGTGGTGACGACCTGGGGCAGACCTTGATTAGGCTGACCTCGAACTCCAGAAAACCACAATGACTAAACCAGCAAAACTCCGAAAAAATGGAGATTATGCTGCGGCACGCACAACCAGTGAGGACGGGCCATCCAAGTATCGCAGTAAGTAATCATTAATAAAACAATACCTCTCGTCAAGAAATGCGGCTGCTATCTGAGGTATAACGGGTTGTGGACGAGTCATGAGGAGACGTTCGTAACGACATGCGACCTGAGAAAGAATGCTTTTCTCACAAACTTAAAGCAAATATTTACCAAAAAAAGTAGAACCCAAACATTTCAGAAAAGGTCTCACATACTTCAAAATATAACACATGCACCGATGCTGATCGACCATCTAACTGCATAGAATTTAAAAGATTAACTGGTAATTGTGCGCCACGTCCCATCCAACCTTCTTTCGCATTCACAAAATTGGCCTGTATTTAGATGGATATTTTCAATATGGTGAGGATATTCCTGTATAAACCGTAGGCAAGGAGACACAATATCAATCTTAAAAGCAAAAGAATATCTAACTGGGATGATCTCCACAAGGCCATGTACTAATTGAACTATGGCCTCAAGGCGAGCGATTGGCATTGCAGTACCACCAGCACTCGCTGAGACTTCAGCAACAAGAGATTCCAATGGTGACACAATAAGATCAGGGCGCTAAAATAGGTAATTCTAACTATACACGTAACTTTTTTAAACCAACGAATAATTACCATGGTTCCAATAGTATTCAATATTCCACGAAGTTCCTTACGATATTCAGCGAATTCGATTTCGTCCTCTCCGGAGCCATCCACATCCAGTTCTTCACTGACTACATACCGTCGGAAACAAATCGACACAATTCTTGTAAACACGCTTATAACGTTCTAAAATATGTGTGACATTTAAATAAAAGTGGACATGGTCAATAACAGCATTTCACTTGTCATAAACTACCAGATGGAGTCAGGTTACTTAATTACTTGGATACTTGGACGGCCCATCCTCACTGGATTGTGTGGGTCCCCTATACTCCATTTTTCGGAGTTTTACTGGTTAAGCCATTGTGGTTCCCTGGCCCTTGTAAATCAGAGGGAGACTTTCCACCACGCGACTAGTTTGATACCAGGACGTTGGTTGATTCTGGCATTGGTTTACTCTTAGCCATACTTCCTGATGGAAACGTCGAACTGCTTAGCTTGAAAGACCCTGCCGGGGTGAGACGAATACCGCCGTTGTACATCGCAGCCCGACAACCATGAACACCTCCCAGCCACGATGAGGTGGTAAACCGTTAAGAGGGAGTTCAGATTAGTTCCTTAGAAAGCAAATATTTCTTATGCGGCCAATAAAAAAAAATCTGCCGCTCTGGTGTGAATCGAAAACAACCTCATCTAAATATTTATCCTTGAATACCGCCACGTAGGAACGCAGTGTGGAGATCACGAGACCGCTGAGTTCGGGGTCTTCATTATCAAGGACTAACAACATAGAATCTATGTCATCTTCGAAAGATTTGATGCAATGGTGCGCGTCATCTGCTACATCTTCGCTTAGCAGCCTGGAAAAACGAATTCTAAGCTGAAGCTGATGAATGCCACCTTTTTGCGTCCTCATGTAAGCTGCTAATGATTTCTTATCATATAATTCCCTAAAAGCTTTTCAATCTTGTGATAAATACACTTTTACTGTATAAACACGGGCCTAGAAGTCAACAACTGGTAATGAAGAAGCTCCTTCTCTCGTTACTAACTTTACTCGACGTCCTCTGTGGAATATTAAGAAAGGTACTTTGATTTAAAAAATCTAACTATTCGCACTATATAAAAAATATGACTTCGATTTTGTTATTACCACCGACACTTTACTTCTACGAATTTTAAAATTATTAAATGAGTAAAAAATTTAAATTACACGAAAACAACACCACAGTGTGAATTTCGAGTTTCCACTTCCTTCTGCGAAGCGACGATGTCTTACGTTCTTCCCGCAATTTGTTCCAGACAAGAACAATTCCAGTTTTAAATGAAACACCAGAAAAAATCGTGGCCAAATAATATATAGATATCTATGTAAAGCGCAATAATATTTAAACTCTGAACAACGTGTCCGCGGTCCCCCTCCTTTGCGTTTGACACTCTGGAGAATCCAATGGCTAACGGCTATGGTGCATCGGTTGTCATCTGTATGCACTAAGTGTCTGGATCATCTTCGAAAATTTCGAATATGAAACGACATCCTTGGTTTTTGAACGTTAACGTAGGTTGAAGCATCGGATCATCTCTCTCTCTTGCATGATATCAATCCACCTCACACCAGTCACAGAATCTACTCTGCGGATCCCAGCATTTTTTGCACTTCTTCAATATTCGTTTTCTTTGCTTTCAGCGTCGACAAAAATCATGGGATATTTCACGTGTTTTTCGGCTGCTGCTTGAGAACTTCGCCTTCATTACGAATGTTGCAGATTTCTGGTCGATGCTTTTCTCCATGTAATCTTAAGATTGCCGAGCTAAGGGGTTTATACGCAGAATAGAGAACGTTAGGGAAGTCGAATCAAAGCCATGCTTCACGACGGAGGTCGTGTATATAAACATTCTGCAGAACAGGACAGGATATGTAGAAGAGCAGCGTAGTGGTTAGTGATGCTTATATATATATATATATATATATATATGTATATATTTATATGTATATATATGTATATACATACACATTATACAATGTATTCATGCATATATACATTTGCGCATAAATATACATTTATACATGTACACACATATATTTATTCACATGCATATATTTATATATACATGTATTTATTCACGGATCTCCCTCATATGAGGGATCTCGAGCCGGTTAGTCGCGAGGCTACGTGGCGCGTCCCCAGGTGGCGGATAGGGGATTAGTCGCGGACGAAAAGCGGACTTTGCTTCCCTGAGACACAGGCAGATCAAGGGGATATACTCCTTGTTTCTGTTGCTCCGATTTGGCACATACTTTCTGTATTTGTTAGGCGTATTCATGCATGCGTGTGTGGGTGCGTTCTTGCTTATGCGGATTGTATTCTACGAGTCAATTTGGCCAAAAACCAGCAATCAAGTGACAGGAAAGCATATAGGAAGCGGTTAGGAGTCGCCTCCAACAAATAAGCTCCATGTCTACTCTGGGAGAGCCTGGTAAGCTACTCGTGAGCATATCCAGCCCCCACATTCAGAGGCCAGCAAGCTATACGTGGGTATCAAAAATGCTAAACACAGTAAAAAAAAGGGCCTCATTCCCCTGACCCCGAAAGAACCCCCAATTTCGCATCGTCGGGTAGGATGAGTACGTAGAGGCTGCTAAAATCTTAGGGCCAATGGAAGTTGCCTGGATTTCAAAGGACTATGGTGAGGATCTGTACCAACAATACACGTACACTTGCATCCGAGTCCTCGATAGAGGAATGGAAGCCCTTGATAGTCAAGGAGTCCCTACTCAGTACATAAAGAATCTTCGTGAGCTGTACAAAAATTTCACAACCAAGATATCACCATTCTACAACGATATTAACATTAACGTCAAAAGAGGAGTTAGGCAAGGCGATACCATCTCGCCAAAATTATTTACCGCTACACTCCAGAACGTCATGCGAACATTCAAATGGGACACTATGGGAGTGAAAATAGACGGTCGGCAGTTACACCATATTCGCTTTGCTGATGACATCGTCTTTACAACAGCAAACATAAGCCAAGCGGAACGTATGCTTGACGACTTTGATAAAACCTGTGGAAGGATTGGTCTTCGACTAAACCTCACAAAAAAGATGTTCATGAAAAACGGATTGGTTTTGCATGCCCCATCCACGCTCAACGGAGCGAATATCTCCGAATGCTCCAGTTATATCTATCTAGGTCGGGAAATCAATATGATGAACGATCTAGCTCCAGAGCTAAGCAGAAGGAAACGAGCGGCTNTCCGAGTTTACCAAAAAATAAGGCTCAGCGGAGTGGTTGGACCCTTGGGTTTGTAGGGCCGAGCTAGATTGTTCCCATATAGATTGCAGAGAGTGAACTGTTCTCAAGCTACCTCGTGCCCCTTACCGGGACCTGCGGAATGACAGCCTTGGTAAATCCAGGGCGAGATGGAAGTATCACCGTGTTGGGCTGGTGAAGAACGGCATCGCTACCAAAGCGCTATCCATCCCATATATATATATATATATATATATATATATACATATATGCATACGTATGTATATACAAATATGTACATATACCTGCATACACATGCGCATACATGTGTATAAATGTATATATTATATCATCTGTCGTACCGCTGATCGTCAATTGAATCGCGGATACAGTAAATTTTCCAATTGTGCTTTCCACTACTAGAGTAGGCCAATGTGTTCTGCTCGCTCTGAGGACCCGTTGAACATCATACCCTTAGGATAAAGCACAAGGTCGCTTCTGATTCGTGTTAACCCCTGTATCGAGAGCTCCGATTTTGAACCAAAATATCCCATCATAAAGCGAACTTTATTGCTTTATTTATAGATCCCATTAATTTTACGCTTCTCACTCGTTTTCGTCGCTGCTTGTATCTCAACAATAAAAGCAATCAAATGAGAAGTATTTCGTCCACTAGAAGATCTCTATATTCCCTCAAATGCTATTGATGTTTGTAACCGCCGGGACATCATTCAGAATTTTTAAAAGCCAAATTTCGCTATTCGGTTTATAAGAATAAAAACACGTGTGGTTGTTACTATATAATATCTATCCATTCACAACAGCTGACGTTTCCTCGGATGGACAAATGATTTTAGTTACTGCACGAACAGTTAGAGTATATTAACTGTAGTGCAGAGAAATCTAAGGAAAACTGCTTCCACATCAACCTGAAAACGACTATATTACCAAATGGTATCGAAAGGCAAGTAGCAAAAAGATACTGGTTCTTCATCGCTCCTCTCAGCCCTCTTGTAAGAAACATGTTTCGATAAGCCACCAGTGTGTACATAGGAAGAGAGCAGAATGAAGAATCCATGAAAATGGCGAGTCGAATGGACCTTTCCAATGGTTACGAAACAGTAGCTTCTCGGGGTAGATTTAGAAGAGGAACCAAGCTCTTAAATGATATGTCTAACGAGAATAAGCTCCCGTTTTATCTTGCGTCATTTTCAATGAAATAAATACAGCTATAAAACGTTGCTTAAAAAGGGCCTGTTTAAAGAAGTCGGCACCAGTGATTGAAATACCACCTAGCACACTAAGATGCCAGCAAGTTCATATGACAGTCTATGCACAACGTAAAATTGCATAACATGATCTATTCGGTTGCATAACCTCGGATACGGTGTATCTTACCCCCTGTAAAGCGTGCTGGGATGAATTAACGAAATGCATTCAACACTGTGCATCCGTTTACAAGAACAGCTAGTTGGCATGCGCAAAGCCAAACAAAATACTCCACTAGGCGCTCAAAAGGCACAGAATGGAGAACATTTCGAGGTCGAAATCATTCACGGACAGGAATCTAAGACATCACTGCATGAAACTCTCGAACCATTTTGGCTAATTTCCAAGAATCCAAAGATGAACCGCAGGGAGAAATACCTCATTATCATATGAGAACTCACACAATGTCTTAGATTGATATTTCGAGGTAAGAGGAACTCATTACCCATCCAGGTAAGAATTGTGCGATTGGCCTTTACGTCGAATGCTCAGTGGAAGATAGAAAGAGCGGTGAGTGTGCGAAGAAGCTGTTTTACATCCAATGCGATTGAAAATTTGGGTATCGTGATTTTTCCATTGAGGTTATGGAGGTGTTTTGCTGAGTAGGTTTCGGTTGAGTTGATCTTCCCAAGCTCTGAAAAAGGCGAAATCCGCCGAAACGTCAGCTGTTGTGTATAAATTCTACGTGATAACAACCTTCTGTATGTCTATCAAGAAAACAGTGTACTATTCATCAATGTCGAGGTTAAGAGAAAGTTGGTCTTGGAAATTTAAATTTCGTTTTCCTTTCTTTTGAAATAGTTCAATGAAAATCTTGTAGCCAAAAATAGTCACAACAAAAAATTCAACGTGAAAAGATGTCTGTGGAGTCCGCCTGCTTTCCGGTGAAATATAAGGTCCTGTACAGTATATGAACTTGGTAAACTCTGTGGATACACTGTGGTTTTATTCATAGAACTGACTAATAAGCTTTAAAAAAGTACTCCGAAAATAGTCTTGGTTCCACCTAATCTTGAGAACTCTCACAGTCCTTTGTTAAACGCGTTAAAGAGAACGTTATTTTTATTGATGCACTAATAACCCAACAAAAATTGGAAAACTGCAAGGCCTCAGCCTACTTTTTATTAAAGGACTTTAAGGTTGCGCAGTGTTTGCTTGTTCTAGCTCCTACGCCAGGAACTATGCCACCAAATTTACCTCGTAGCGGAGAAGTTACTAAATCTGCAAGGTCACAGGTAAATCCTTGAACGATTCGTATTGTTGGAATTTTCTATAGACCTATTTTTTATTGCATGAAAACAAAAGCTGCAAAAGTAATTTAAGGAAATTCACATTTTAGAACCTGTTATCTTCCATATTCGCTGTATTCCCACCAGCGCGACCGACGACAACAACTTCACGTAAGACCTACTTGAAAAATATAAAGCATTAAATTTCTAACACTGATTTTGTTTTTGTGCTAACTTATATGCCAACACGGAGCAAAGGCAAAAAGTGATCTAGGCAATAAGCTCAACAGGTTTCAAAGCATCGCTCACCACTAAATAGGACTAGATGAGGGATCTCTTGACTGCAACGAAGAAGGGAGTGGTGTAACATGGAACTTTCACTGAACTGCAGAACATCACATGAGTTGAATTTATTAAGTAAATTAAGCCAGAACTAGAGATGATGGGTGCGTTCCATAAATATTCAAAATATGCTATAAATAGGGTGTTACACTCAACAGCGAAATTCAACAGTAATTTCTTTCTCCAACCGTTCCTGATACGTTCGGACACTACTCGCATGATGGATGCGAACGATCCCACAGTTTTACTACGATATCTTCTATTTTTTTTCACTTATGGCACAAAGGTACCAGGGTACGCAAAATGTGGGGCCCAGCAATGGAAGCTGGATATATTTTTGGGCAGATGAGAAATAAAGTCATGCTCATTAAGCATTATAATGTTCAAATATTTTCGCTCTTGTTCATCTAGCAGGAAAAATAGGATTATCATTTCAGAGCTAACTACAACAAGTAATCCAGCACCACTGCCTCCATTGATGAACCTGTTTGGTGGTGTCGTTGGAGGACCACCGCAATATTCTTTGCCCACTCTTCCACCACCACCAACCACGAGTACATTAGCTTTACGACAGATCTGTAGTTTGCCACCTTTAACAGGAAACTGCAGTCGAGCCAGAATAATGTGGTAATTATAGCAGTATCACTACCCGTAACGAAAACACTAGGCCCAGCTGTTTTTCTTTTCACAGAAAACTTCAAAAATCGTAAGCGATGAAGGAAAGTATGGCCATTCCGTAATTTCTAAAGACAAAGTTGAGTGAAAAAGGGAATATGAATCTATTTAGGTACTATGATAATGAGACGGGGAAGTGCGAACGTTTTAGCTTCAGCGGTTGTGGAAACCTCAACAGATTCCCAAGCAAGGCTCAGTGTGAACAAGCATGCATTGGACAAGGATGATAAGAAAATCTTTAACAACAAATGTGTGTACGTAGAGAGAAAGAAGAAGGAAGCAATGCGGAATAAATTCAGGATAGTGTTTCGATTACTTTAAAAAAGCTTACTTGTGGTACGTATCGATGAGCACACTACCGATGGCGCTTAGAAGCGATCCCGCACGTGAAACGTCGTCATAGTCGCTGTTCTTGAAAATCACATTTAATCGGTGTTTCTTAGGCGTTGAGAATAATAGGTCTATTCAGTGCTCTCTTAAAAAAAACACCAAAAAGATACGAAGAAGAAAAGTTTGCTTGAAATTAACGAGTTCACATTTGTCAAACAGTGACTATTTCTTGAAGCGTGAAGCAAAACTGTTCAAATACTTAAGTAGTAGGAGGCGGACTGCACAGTGGTAGTGGTGCAGGTCATCACGAGCATGATTTCATGAGTTCGATTCCGCTCCGAGCCAACCAAGCCTCTCATCCTCCGGGTCGGGAAATTGGCATCGGAGTTGTCCGGGAAAAATCGCTCTGTAATCCTATTGGGAACGCTTCAGTCCGGCTACCCCAAAACTCCAGGGAGAATCGACTAGACCAGTATTCTACGACATTCAAGATGAAATAGAAAATCCTCAAGCAGTAGCCGAAGTCACATGTGAAAGTTAGAAGACCTTCGTTGACAACGGATGCGAGGAAACGAATCGAATGTGAGAAGTGCTGGGATTCGCAGAGTAGACGTGAAGAAGGGTTACATAAAAATAAAAAAAAACACTTAAGCAGTAACCATAAACGGCAAAAACAACGGTAAGACTGTAAGTTATGAGTAATACAAAGAATTTGAGAGCATTTACTGCATAACGTATGCGGTACCGGGTTGACAGTTATCAGCTGACTGTTACGCATTACATCAGTGAGCGCAGTGACGAGAGAGAGTTTCTTTGCTGGGAGCATTCCCTTAAGAATTAATCCAGAAACGGCGTGTACAGCGGCCTGAAATACAATTAGTGGTTTTTCTCACTCGGTTTCTTTAAAACAGGGACTTCGATGGATATACACTATGAGAAACAGACAAAACCTGGGAGAATAACTCTTTAAGCTTTAAGGCACACATAAAACAGAATTCCAAAAGACATTAGAATGTCTACAAACGCACAAACTCTTACTTCAGAAAGTTCCTTTTTCCCAAGTCGACTAATCACTAATTGCACGAATAGGTCGTTAGCAATCAGTTCCACGTTGATCCAGTCCACAAACGCAGCAATAGCGTCCAAACACAGACACTGCGCAGTTACATCCGAACAGCGTTCCTAAAAATAATGTTAACCTTTCATTTGCTGCCTACCATAATTTTTTCACAGCAGGGTATCACGTGAAATACAACCACAACCATGTGGAGATAATCGCAAAATATGTAATATGCGAACCCCCGGAAAGAACAATCATGGTTCGGTCTGGCTTGGAGTCTAAGTTTTGCGAATATCTCGGCATCATTGTGCTCCTAAAGATAAATATGCTCTATCGTTTAAAGATGAAGCAATTCGACTTTAGTATAAGGAGAAAAGCGATATTCTGATAAGAAAAACAACCAATAATCAATTTGAGCAAAAAATATTTACTTTTTTAACACAACGAAGTGTGCGAAAATGCAATAAGGAAACACAAACACTACGAAAAATAGTGAGTTTTAAAGTCCAATTTCGAGAAGTCACAATAGAACAAAAACAGCTAATAACTGTTCTTTAAACATTGGAAAAATGTCTGAAGTCCATCGGATATCATTTAAATAAGAATAAGAAAACTATTCAAAAAACAATCTTTAATGAACTGATTGTCAATTTCCTTTAAAAAGTGGTTTGAGGACAGATGGAAACCTACCAGAATGGTCCACCAACTTTTTACAATTTGTGGTATGCAAAGTTCACGCATGAAATCCTTGATTTTAGTATTACGATCGAAACTCTAAGAACAACAACCATCTCTGACATAAAATATGCTACTCTACATGATAAAAAGAAAACAACTTACTAGTTTATCTCTCTGGATATCTCGATCTACTACTTCCGAATCGATAGCCAGAAGTGTTTTCAAGTAAAAAATTACTATCGGGACACTATCTAATCCTTGAGAAAGGAATCTAAAGAACTTCTTACTATAACAACTAGTGATAAAACAATAGCAGTAAGATAAAATATAGCCAAATATTGGAAAGTTTTAAATAAACTAGGTAGTAGAAACACTTACAGATCATCCATAAACGTAGGCCACCTGTCCGGAAAATCCGTTGCGAATACCAAGGAGAATATATGAGCCATTTTATTAACTAAGAACACAGGTTGATCAGGGAGAGCGGACAGCTTCTAAAACGTTGTGCTGATTATAAAGACGTGTAATATATAGAAGCATACTTGGTATTTACCATTACTATATACCATTACTTGGTATTTGGACTTTGATGGTTCGTCCTCAATCGTTCTGCGGCTACCAGCGAAATTTCTATTGCTGGTTTGGCCGTTGTGGTTCTCTGGCGTCACCAGGTCATCATGCCAAAGTCTACCCCACGCCCTCACCACCACAAGCCATCGCAGTCCTTGTGGATCAGAAGGATATTTGCCACCTTGCAACGAGTTTGATATCAGGACAGTAGTGGAACCTAGCATTGGTTTACTCTTAGCTGGGCTTCCTGGTGGAAACGCCGGACTCCTCAGCTTGGGAGACCCTGGTAGGGTGACGAATGCCCGAGCTCTAACCCGACATCCAGGAACACCTCCCAAATATGATGAGGCGGTAAGCCGTTGGAAGGAAAGCATATCATCTTCGGAGTAAATTTGAAAAAAAGAGCCTCCAAACAGAGGAATCACCTGAATCCAATGGGATAGTAGACTGTGAATACACAACATACTCTCAGCATCCGCTTCGGAATATCGTCGATTAAGGTAGTCCTCGATTACTTGCAGAAGAAGGAAATGCTCTTCATCAGTACTACTTGCAAACAAGTTTAAAAAGTGGTCATAGAAATGGAATTTGACAAAAAGTTACTATATGCGACACTTTTTTCTGAAGATATTAACTGGACTAAACATGTCACTGTTTAAAAAAAAGTAATTAACTTACGATAAATTATTGGCCATAATGGTATCAGTGGATTTCCGCCATCCATTCTCGTCAACTTTAAGTGCTTGGAGGTAGTGATAGAGCTGAAATAGGCAGATTCAATTGGACGACAAAGTGTCAATGTCTAGTAACTAAAAATTACAACTCTGGACACTGCAGGAAGAACGGAGAGTTAAACAACGTGAGTCAATAGTTCGCAAGATCGACTGCTTATTAACCTCGGCATTGGATCATCACTTTCCTTCCTAGTAATTCTGGAGCTCTACCTTCCCGTGCATCGTTAAAAAACTAGGCGTAGCGATAGGAACAGACCACAACTGAACTAATTAAGAAACCTTAACACAACAATCAGTAATCGTCGAAGCTGCAGAAGCTGGGAAAAGCATTCGCAAAGCGCACCGAAGCTTCGCCAATTGCAAAAACAAGATGATTGCACTCCGACACCCAGACGGAACAGTTACAGCGTCCAGAAAGGCAATGGAGAAAATCAATCACGAATACCACTCAGATCTCTTCGATAGCCACGTCCATCCTCCGTTATATGAAATAAAGGAGGATGGATATGTTGTACCACCTGTTCTCCTTTCCGAAATCCGGCATGCCATTTTGTCGGTGAAAAATCGAACATTACCAGGTCCGGAGAGGATAGGCCCAGAACACCTGAGGAACCTTCCGCCAGTCCTCGTGAACACACTGGTTCGGCTTTTCACACGTTACCTGTCTGAATGCAAGGCGCCTACTCAGTGGAAGACCAGCAAGACCGTGTTATTGTTCAAGAAGGGTGACCTGCACGATATCGGCAACTGCCGCCCAATCTGCTTACTGTCTGTCGTCTACAAAATTTTCACTCGAGTCATCCTAAACAGGATTGACAGAACACAGGACGAAGTACAGTTATGTGAGCAATCAGAGTTTCGAAAAGGATTTAGTACAATGGATCACATCCACAGGATAACAAGGCTCATTGAAGTATCAAGAGAGTACAAAAGACCGTCCTAACTCACTTTCATCGATTTACAGAAGGCCTTTGATTCAATTGAGATAGAAGCAATCATGGAAGCCTTTGATAGTCAACGGGTCCCTACTCAGTACATAAAGAATCTTCGTGAGCTGTACAAAAATTTCACAACCAAGATATCACCATTCTACAACGACATTAACGTCAAAAGAGGAGTTAGGCAAGGCGATACCATCTCGCCAAAATTATTTACCGCTACACTCCAGAACGTCATGCGAACATTCAAATGGGACACTATGGGAGTGCAAATAGACGGTCGGCAGTTACACCATATTCGCTTTGCTGATGACATCGTCTTTACAACAGCAAACATAAGCCAAGCGGAACGTATGCTTGACGACTTTGATAAAACCTGTGGAAGGATTGGTCTTCGACTAAACCTCACAAAAAAGATGTTCATGAAAAACGGATTGGTTTTGCATGCCCCATCCACGCTCAACGGAGCGAATATCTCCGAATGCTCCAGTTATATCTATCTAGGTCGGGAAATCAATATGATGAACGATCTAGCTCCAGAGCTAAGCAGAAGGAAACGAGCGGCTTGCGGAGCTTTCAAGAGCATCGAGGATGTAGTGAAGAGAACAAAGAACACCCGACTCCGTGCCTACGTTTTCGACTTAACGGTACTTCCTGCCCTAACTTATGCGCTAAAAACCTGGTCGCTGCGTATGCAGGATGAAAAATTATTCACCGTTATTGAACCCCAAATGAAAGAGCGATGCTAGGAGTATCCGTTTCACACAAGTAAGGGAAGGGATCCGAAGCTCCGAGCTGGGTTAACGATCAAAATTCCACGATGCCGTTCTATATGCTAAACTGTCGAAGATAGGGTGAGCCAGACACGTAATGCGTATAAACGGCAATCGGTAGAGAGGAGCCGTTAGCGACTGGATTCCTCGGGATGTCAAACGCACTGCGCGAAGACCACCGACCTGATGGTCAGAGTTCTTCAAGAAGAGTCTAGAAGAAAGATATGATGCTCGACGAGTCCCTAGAGCGAGCAGAACCCACTGGGCTAGTCTTGCACGCGACAGGGAAAGATGGAAGATTTACTGGCGCCCGCTCGAGTCACTCGACGATCAACGGGAGTAGAGATGATACAGGTGATGTATTTATACATATATATATGCATTTGTATGTATATATGTATAAATACGCAGTGTTGTCCAGAGATGTTTTAAGCAAACAACACCAGAAAAATACACAACGGTCACCATACTCAAAGGCATAGGTCATAAATCTCGACTGCCCACTAAATCTCGGATAGTAAGCAATGCGGAAACATCCAGATAAAAAGGATCAACGAGTTAATACTGTTAACACTCTCGCATAAATAGGTTCCACTTAACACAGGAAGCAACGATATTCCATTACCGTTTCGTTGTCAATTGATGTCGTATGTCAAAGGATATGCAAATAAATACTCTTCAAATTCTGCTCCAGTTCCATACCGAAACTCGCTTAGGTGAAATCCTAAAAAAACACACAAGCACCAAATTACATACGCGGCCACAGTAATGGTAAGACCTAACTATACCATAAAATTTTCCCATTTCCATCCATCTCTATCTCAGCCATCTAGTAAGAAGCACTCCTGTTATAGATGAAATATACCGTATGGAGTTACATTCTAAGCATCTTCTACTCACTATGAAGAATCTACACAGATTGAAAACTAAAAGAAAAACGGCAGAAAAAATAAAGAAAGATGACCCATTTCGAAGACTCGACCTTATCGGTGATAATCGGGTCATCCTCTAATAGGTCTCTCCCACAACTGCATTATCTCCTTTCTCCACCAGAAATCCCAACAATATGTTTGTGCTATCTCAACTGATATTTTTAACTGCTTTTATGTTATCACTTGCCCAACATGATTTCATCTATGCTTGCGAATCCCTAATATGTGAACCACCTAAGGTGTGCGTTATTCAAAATCAGGTAAGAGTAATACAACAAAAAACCAATTTTAAAATTTACGTCTGTTTGCATATATATATATATATATGTATAAACACATGTATACATGTGTATGTATACATGTGTCTATGTACACATGTATATACATATAAATCACACATGTACACATGTATACACTTAATTTGTATCTATGTATATACATACATATCTGTATATAGATAAAAATTTGGGTCCAGAATTCATAACCGCTGTTGTCGTTATAAATTTTACAAATGCATTTTGCAACATTTACTAAGCTTAGATTGTTGCTTCTTACGAGTTCAAACCCCACGTTACTTACGTACTTGCCACGTATTACATTTTCTAGCAAATAATTTATACGGTGGACAGGAAGTTTCCAAAATAGGAAATTCGTAATGTTTAGCTTTATGTTCAGGGTTGGAAATGCTATTGCTGAAACAGTTGACCAAAACATCTGATTAGTAAAGAATCACCGAATGCACAGTGCATAGATGTTTCAAGAAATGAATTTCGGTGATGCAGGAAATAAGTGGCGATTACTATCAACCATTTGAAGAGGGTGGTCCGAGTTTACCAAAAAATAAGGCTCAGCGGAGTGGTTGGACCCTTGGGTTTGTAGGGCCGAGCTAGATTGTTCCCATATAGATTGCAGAGAGTGAACTGTTCTCAAGCTACCTCGTGCCCCTTACCGGGACCTGCGGAATGACAGCCTTGGTAAATCCAGGGCGAGATGGAAGTATCACCGTGTTGGGCTGGTGAAGAACGGCATCGCTACCAAAGCGCTATCCATCCCATATATATATATATATATATATATATATATACATATATGCATACGTATGTATATACAAATATGTACATATACCTGCATACACATGCGCATACATGTGTATAAATGTATATATTATATCATCTGTCGTACCGCTGATCGTCAATTGAATCGCGGATACAGTAAATTTTCCAATTGTGCTTTCCACTACTAGAGTAGGCCAATGTGTTCTG